CAACAATTTTTGAAAATTTTAATTTTTATGAAGAAATGAATAATATTTAAATTTTTATTTAAAAAATTATTTAATTTTTAAATAATTTTATTTCAAATTTTGAAAAAATTAAGTTTTTGGAAAATTTTTAATCAATTTTCTTTTAGGAAAATAGATTTTTGATTTGAAATTTAAATTTTTGAAAAAATTTTATTAAAAAAATCGTGAAATTTATCAAAATTTTGTGAAATTAAATTGAAAATAATTGAACTTGTTAGAGAATTTTATTTCAGATTTTTAAAACTTTTAATTTCAATTTCTTTTTTAATTGTAGTTTTGAAGATTTTACTTAAAGTTTGAAAAAATTAGGTTTCTAAGAAATTTTAATTTAATTTTGAAGATATTTGGATTTTTATAAAAAAAAATTTAGTAAAAAATAATTGAATTAATGTAAATTACATGAAATTAAATTGAAAATAATTAAATTTGTTAAAGAATTTCATTAAGTATAGAAGCATAAAATGGTCCAAATTAAATTTAAAAGCTTTATTTAAAATTACGAAAAATTAGTTTCTTTAAATATTTTATTTTTTGTTTAAGATAACTAAATGTTTATAAACAATTGAAAATTTTTGAAATAATTGAAATTTTTTAAAGTTTCTATTAAAATTAATAGAATTTTTCTAAAATATAAAAAATAATTGAGTTTTTCCAAAATTCAATTATTTCTTATAGAATTTTGGAAAAATTCAATTATTTTTTATAGAATTTTAGAAGATTTCAATTAAGTTTAATAGAAACTAATTTTTGTAAATTTCTTTACAAAATAATTGATTTTTTTAAAAGTTTTATTGTAATTTTTAAAACTTATTGAGGGAATTTAATCGCAGTAATTAAGTTTATTTTTGAAATACATTAGTTGACAGCTTTAAAGTTTTGAATCAAATTTTTCTTTCTAAAAATTCTAGTTTTTTTTAAATTGTACTCCCTTTGAAATTTTTTTCATATATGAACCAGAAAAAAAGCCTTAATTCTGCCTGAAAGTTAGAAAAAAGTAAAAAGTAAAAAACAAAAAACAAAGTAAAATTTTTGTGGCAACCCTGATATTTTTGTTAGTGAAAGTTCAAAACAGGAACAATAATTTAACAGTTAAAAAAGAAATTTATAACGTTGGAGGATTATTTTTGAAAAATTGATTACTAATGAGAAAAAAAGGAAGACGTGGAGAAAGTAAGAAAAATAAGGAAGTGACTTTCAATTCTCTAAAAGGGATATTATTCTCGAAAGATTTTTCACATGTACGATCTTTTGTTAGTCGATTATATTAGACTTGCTAATTTTCAAGAATTGATTCTAAACATTTTCTTTCAATATATATAAGTACTTTCTCTGACTCTCTAAATTTTGTTTATTCAAACGAAAATTCAACACTCTTTGCCCGCAGTAAACAAATGTCTCGAAAAAATTTATTCAGGAATCAAATTATTCTCGAGAAACACGATTAAAATAATTTATTATACATGAAAATAAAAGAACTGTGCGGCATCAGGAAAATTATATTCCCCTCGAAAATAGAGAATCAATGAATAAATGATGAAAAAAACAAATAAACTTCCAATAATTAACTTGTTCATAAACAAAATTAATTTTCCGAGTCAATATATAAAGAGTCAATAATTATTCAAGAATATAATGGAAATAAAATTGGAAAATATTGGAAATATAATTACGCAATTTTAGAAGTTGAAAAAATATTTTGTGGATAAAAAAAACAAATATAGAGAAAAAGAAAAAGAAAACAATGGAATTAGAATGGAATACGGTTTCTGTACTATTGTGTCTGGAACGACTAAAGTTTTAACAAAATAAACTGATGGTCTTTTGTTAAATACGATCGAGTCGCAAAAATGTTGGGACGTGACACAGCTGTACTCTCAAATCCCAAACTTTGCCAAACTACTTTGGAAAACTTTCTGGAGGACAAAGCTTTCCATTCGATCTTGCTAGTAAATCCAGCTTTTCCTTATTTATTTTCAAGTTACTACTGGCAAGTGCGATATTTATTGTATAAGGAGAATTTAATATTGAGCTTTTTTAATAAATAGTTTCTATAAAGAAGAAAAAAAAAATTTATATAAGTAGAATGTTCTCCAAAAAAAGTGCACGCTTTTTATTTCGAAACAAAAAAAAAATACACGTGTCAGTATACCCGATGACTGGCAGTAGATTTTTTCCTTAGCATCTGCACATGAATAATAATCTGTGCCACTTGTTCCGATTCAAAGAAAGAAATATTTCTGATAGAATTAAAAAAAATTTTGTTGTGGAAAAATATTTAAGAAATTTGGAAGATTTAGAATTGGAATTTTTTCTATATTCAGGCTTTGCACTTATCTGCTAAAACCTAATTATTATACAATTATTCTCACAAATAGTGAAGTTCCTTGTTGAAATTCAATTATTTTCAATATTTACTATTTTAATAAAATTTCTCAAAAGTATTCAATTTTTTAAAAAAATTTTTTATAAAACTCTTTACAAAATTCCAATTATTATCTGAAATAATTAAATTTTTACAGGATTTCAATTATTTTAAATACAATTTTTATAAAAATTTTCGAAAGAAATCAATTATTCAAAATATTTTACTGAAACTCTTATTCGTAAAAAATAAATTATTATCAAAAAATTTGATAAAAATTGTTTAAAAGAATTCAATTATTTTCAATGTAAATTTTTATTGAACTCCTCGAAAAAATTTAATTATTTTCATAAATTTATAAAATTCTTCGCAAGAATTCAATTATTTTTAATAAAATTTTATTTAAATTACACAAAATAATTCAATTTTTTTTATTTTAATTAAATTCTTCGAAAGAATTTATTTATTATCAAAAATTATAATAAAATTTTCATAAAAAATATATAAAATTCTTCGAAAGAATTTATTTATTATCAAAAATTATAATAAAATTTTCATAAAAAATATATAAAATTCTTCGCAAGAATTCAATTATTTTTAATAAAATTTTATTTAAATTACACAAAATAATTCATTTTTTTTTTATTTTAATTAAATTCTTCGAAAGAATTTATTTATTATCAAAAATTTTAATAAAATTTTTCTCAGAAATTCAGTTATTTGCAGAAATAATACAATTCTTTGCAGTAATTCAATTATTTTCAATATCTACTATTTTATTAAATTTTCAATTATTTAGAACAATGTTGTCAAAATTTTCCAAAAGAAATCAATTATTTTTAATAATTTTGATAAAATTTCGTCTATATGAAATAAATTATTTACATTCTTCGGAGGAATTCAATTATTTTCAATAATATTAAAATTTTTCCTCGGAAATTCAAAAAAAAAAAAAAATTACTATATTTCTTTGCAGAAATTCAATTATTTTTATAAATACTAAAATTCTTCGTAGGATTTCAATTATTTTCAATAAAATTTTAATTGTAATCCTCGAAAAATTCATTTATTTCAAGGAATTTCATTAAAATTCGTCAAAAGAATTCAATTATTTTGAAAAATTTTGTTAAAAACTTGAAGCGAATTCAATTTTAGAAATGTTTAATTATTCTAGTTTTTTCCTTTTGTATTTAAATAATTGAATTCCAAAAAACTTTTCTAATAAGAATTGATTTAAAAATGAACTCAAATTAAAATTCTAGAAAATAATTGAATATTATAATTATTATAGTAGGAAATTTCAGATATTATTCAAAAGGTTTTTAAAATCAAAATCTTTGAAAATTTTAATTGTTGCAGAAGTTGAATATTTAAATATTGAAAAATTTTTTTTAGAAATATTTAAAAATATTAAGAATTATATTTCAAAATTAGAATTTAAAAAAATAAAAAAAAATTCGACTGGACTAATTCTTTTGTAAAAACTTTTGAACTTTAATTATTTTTCCTATTAAAAATTCGTTTCTTTGATCGGGACAAGTGAAAGTAGTATAAAATAGAATCTGGAGGACTCGGCGATTAAGAATTAAGGAACGACAGTGAGTGATAATGACTTTGACTGTGATATGTGATTAAATTTTAAAAAAGAAAAACAATTGTGATTAAATTAAGAAAGTATTTTTTTACCGATAAAATGGCTTTAAACGGAAATAAAAGTTCATGAAAATTGAAAGTATAATTAGAAATATTATTAAGGGTACGAAAAAAAAATCGAAAGAGATGGACGATTGCTTCAACGTCGATAAACAAATTAGTCTTTCCAGTGTAGGCCAGTTTTCTTGTCTTTCATTAAGAGCTTATTTACTCGTATTATTTTATTAAATTACTTGCACTCGCACACAGTATTATATTACGCTTACCATTACTAAATACAAAAAATGGTTTTTTAAATTATTTTCGTACAATTTTTTTCTGAATATATAGAAAAAATCGTTAAGCAATTAAAAAAAGAGACGAAAATGTTGAAATTAGACAAAGAAATAATAAATTAGTAAAAGAAATTTATTTTTATACCCGAAAAAATTTGTATTATTGTTAAAAAAGAGATTTTCTGTTACTCTTTCAATAAGACGTCATTATTTTCCATTAACGATTTTTTTATATTGAAGGGAAAAAATTTTACGAAATGAGTACTATTTGTCTAGTATTCTTTTTAGTAAGGGTATAATATATATTTTATAAGAATTTTTATACATTTTTTTGTACTTTTGTACTTACTGCTTTTTTATTCAATTCAAGAATATATATAAAAAGTTCCGAGTATTTTACATGAAGTGTTTTTTTTTTAATTGAAAAATTGAAAGTTGAACGACAGTCCTCGGATCGACTTTAAGGCGCAAAAAAAATTCGCTTTCGTCGATTGAAGATCGAAAAAGTTGTATTATCCGAGGCCTGGAATGACAATAAAATCCTCTTCCTTGTACACAATTTACCAATCCTTGAGAAAAAAAAAATTATTTCTAATTGAACTTTATTTATTAATATATAAAAATGTCAAAAATAGAGAAAATAAGATGATTTATTTTATTAATGATTTCAGTCGAAACTCAACTGCGAAGTTCTTGAGGACAGTCTGGCTTTTGAAGTTCGATGGGCCGTTGCTGGGGACAGTATAGTCATTCAACTTGTCGGCAAGCTGGGTAAGTTTTGGAATCTACTCTAAGAAAAGGTCGATGGGAGTTAGTTCGATTGACCTCTTGAAACTTCACGAATTCAACTTTAAACACGAACATGACATTTAGTTAATATAGTTCATTGAAATATGACCCCACAATGAGGAAATTTTATTTATTATTCATTTTTATTGTAATTCAATTGATTTAGCGCAAAATTTGTCTTCGATTATTACAGGGTTGCCACAGGTGAGGGAAATCAGGATAAAGTCAGGGATTTTTATTAAAAGTACTGGAAAAAATTAGGTTTTCAGAATTCATGAGAAAATTCTGAATTTATGTGTCTATTTTGTTTGACTCACAGGCTATGAGATTACCACGATTTCTAATACAAAATTTTCTATTTTTGCCAATAATTTCTTTATAAATAACTTAATTCTTGAAGAACAATCATAAAATTATTACCAATAAATTATTTAATGAATAATTTTACTTAAATATTTCAAAATCAATTTAATTTTAAAAGAGTTGCGTTTACAATTTTCATAATTAGATGAACTTTAAAAGGTTTTTTTGAAAAATATTAATAATTCAAATTCTTCCGAAGTTAGTTTTAATTATCTTTATAGGTAAATAATAAAATTCTTTTCTGAAATTTTATTATTTTCAAAAATTTTAATAAAATTCTTGGCAAAATTTCAATTATTTTCAAAAATTTTCCTCAATTTAATGATTTTTAATACCTATACTATTTTAATAAAATTGTCCAATAGAATTCAATTATTTAAAAAAAATTTTAATAAAATTCTACCCAAACATTTAATTATTTTCATAAATAATAAAAATTTCACAGGAATTCAATTATTTACAAGTTTTTTTTATAAATTTCTTCTCAATAATTCCATTTTTTTCATAAATAATAAAATTCTTCACAAAAATTCAATTATTTCCAAAAATAAGAAAATTTTCACAGAAATTCATTTATTTTTAATACAATTTTAATTAAATTTCTTGAACTAATTCAATTATTTTTCAAAATTTTTCATCAAAATTCAATTATTTTCTAAAATAGCAACATTTTTTCTCAGGAATTCAAATATTTAAAACTTATTTTTCAAAATTTTTAATAAAAAATTCTTCGTCATAATTCAATTATTTTAAAAAATAGCAAAATTTTTTCGCAGGAATTTAAATTTTTTAAAATTAATATGTTTCTGTCCAAAAATGCAATTATTTATAAAAGTTTTATTAAAATTCTTCAAAAAAATTCAATGATTTTAAAAAATGTTAATCAATTTCTTCTAAAGAATTTAATTTTTGAAATAGCAAAATTTTTTACTCAGGAATTCAAATATCTAAGAAAAATTAATATGTTTCTGTCCAAAAATTCAGTTATTTTCATAAATTCAAAAAAAAAAACCTTTGTTACAGTGTTGCACATGCACATCTACTTTCCAAAATAGAACGTGTTTTATAAAAGTTCTCTGCTTTCCCTCAATAAAGGAACTTCTAAATTTATATAGCTCATAATTTAATTAGAAAGGCCTTGAGAATACTCATTAAAATTGAATTGTTGCGAATCTTGACACACTTTCATCTCTCAACAACCCCCCCAAAAGATTTCGAAAAATTCACTATCGATTCGTTTCATTTATTGTAGTTTCACTTTATAATTTTATATTTATTTTAAAGTTGATTTTTGGTATATATTTTATTCAGAAATAACAAATTTTTTTTAATTTTAGAAGATGGACAGTATATGTCATTTGGTCTCTCCGGAGAAGCTGAAAAGAGTGTCATGATTGGAGGAGATGTAGTGGTTGCCTGGGTGGACAAGCAAACTCTTCAAGGATATGCAATTGATTACTTCTTGAACGCCAAATCTCAATGTTCCGGAGGACGTGGAAGTTGTCCGGACACTCGAATTCAAGTAAGAATCCCATTCAGCATAGAAGTTTTTCAATCAAACTTTTTAAATACACCAACTTTCGTTAAATTACTCTCTAAATTCAAATCAGTATAAATAAATTTCACTGCGCAAAAAAATTAGTGGTGAATTTTTCTTCTAAAATTTAAATTAAAATTTTTTTTCAACTTGGAAAAAAAAGTTTTTGTAGAACATTTTTTTGAAGACTTTTTTTGAAGACAATTTTTATAGATATTTTTTGTAAACTTTTTTTGTAACCTTTTTTTGTGAACTTGTTTTGTAGAAAGAAAATTCAATGTGATAATTATGTCATTCATGTTTTAGGATAATACAAATTCAGTGAGACTTTTGAATGCAGCGATGGTGAATGGTTATAGTATTGTGACGTATCAAAGACCCTTGAAGGCCAACGATGAATTAGATCGTCAGATTAAGACTAATGGATCTCAAGCGATCATCTGGGGAGTTGGTCCACTCAATGAGAGGAATGAGGTCAGCTTTCACAGTGATTACCTGAAAACTGATCAATTCATCGAATTTGGAAGACCACCTGTCTGGAACTGTCCCATGCCTGATCAGGAACCGTCTCGAACATACGGGGATAGTGTTGATAAAAGTCCTTCGAATCAGGTGATTTATTCAATTTTCTTTTCCGCTATGAGAAATTGAATACAGTATTCGCACTCATTTACTATAATCTACTATAATAATTACTACTTTCTTTACGACTGGACACTATTTGAATACTTTTTTTTTACTTTTGTGTTGCTAAAAAATATTCAGGGTTGCAACAAAAATTAATTTTCTTTTTCCCTGACTTTTTCCTGATTTCCAGACAAAATTTTCACTTTTTCCCTGAACCAAAAGAATATTCTGATTCACTCTCAAAATGATTAGATACTCAGAAAAATGTTCTATTACATTTATTTACGAATTTCTGTAATTGAAAATTATTCAAAAACATCAATAGTTTTATTTAAAATAAATATTTAATAATTATTATTTTTCCATAGGAATTAAGAGATTAAAAAAATTCTTTAAACCTTTTAGATATTCAATAACTTTTAAGAATATTATTATAAAACATGAAGATGGCGATCACTCATGTTTTACAATAATTTAAATTTCTATAAAATCTTTCAAAAAGAAAAAATTAAATTAATTACAAAACTTTTAATAAAATCCTTCGCAAGAATTCAATTATTTTTAATACAATTTTAAGTAAATTCTTCGAAAAATGTAATTAATTTCAAAAAATTTATTAAAATTCTTCGAAAGAAAATAAATGAACAATTATCAATTATTTTTAATTTTTTATCCGAAATTTATTTTTAAAACCATTTTTATTAGAAAATTCTACAAGAATTCAATTATTTAAATTACAAAAATTAAAAAATTGTTGAAAAAATGAATGTTTCTCAAAATTGAATTCTCATAAAGAATTTTATCAACAAATTTTTAAATAATCGAATTTTAATAAAATTTTTAAGAAGAATTACATTTTTCGAGGAATCCGGTTAAAATTGTATTAAAAATAATTGAAATTCTATGATGAGTTTTATTATTCATGAAAATAATTGAATTTTGGAGAAGAATTTAATTATTTTTAAAGATAATTGAAATTTTGACTAGAATTTTTAAAAATTTTTGAACAAAATTGAATTTTTGCAAACATTTGTAACTTCTTTAAAATACAATTTTTAAAATTGTTTTTAACTAAAATTCTTCTATAAATCCAAGATTTTTAATAATTAATTAAATATATATTAACAAATAAAATAATACTAATTATGAATCATGCAAATTAAATTTTTTCCAGTACTTTAATAAAAAGTCCCTGACTTTTCCCTAATTTCCCTGACCTCTGGCAACCCTGATATTTTCTTCTTTTTTCGCCGAGAATTTGCACTACTTTAAACTCGCTAATAGTTGAAGTAAATAAATTAGTATTTATTTTCTTCAAAATAATTATAAATTCAGGAATTTTTGTAAATTTTTTTAATTTTAAATCTAAAATAGTTTATACTTGCATAGAAATTTATTAACATTTTTGAAAAAAATTCAATTGTTTACAAGAAAATGTGACGAACAAAATTTTTTAATTTTTCGAAGAATTTAATTAAAATTGTATTTTTGTACACTTCTATATTATTTATCAAAATTTTTAAAAATAATTAAATTTTCAAAAATTTTAAAACATTTTTTTTCTGGAATTCAATTATTTTCACAAATAATCAAATTCTTTGCTGAAATTCAATTACTTTAAATATTTTCAATTTTATCAACTTTTCTAGAAACAATTCAATTATTTAGAAAAATTTTGACAAAATTTTCCAAAAGAAATCAATATTATTTTTAATAATATTGATAAAATTTGTTTATATGAATTCAATTACTTTCAATACAATTATAATTAAATTTTTTTAAAAAATTCAACTATTTTTAAAATTTTTAACAAAAAATTTTTTAAAAAATTTAATTATATTTAAAAATATTAAAAATTTTCCTCAGAAATTTAAATAATTAAAAAATTTCTTAGCAAAAATTCAATTATTTTCATAAATATTAAAATTATTCGAAGGACTGAAATTATTTTCAATACAATTTTAATTGCACTTTTCAAAATAATTCAATTATTTCTTAAAATTTTATTAAATTCTTGGAAAGAATTCTTCAATTATTTTTAAAAATTTTAATCAAATTCTTTATAAAAATTCAATTTTATAAATTTTTAAGTATTTAAATTGCTATATTTGAATTATTTGATTTCTATAAAATTGTAATAATATTAAAATATTTTTTTGAAATAATGATTAATTATTTTCCTAAAAATATTATTAAGGTTTTAAATAATTTTATTTATAAATTCTAAAAAATAATATTGAATTTTAAAAAATTACTTTTATAATTTTTAGAAATAGTAGATAAATAAATGACAATAAATTATATTTGAATTTTAGAAAAATTATGTAAAAATTGAAATAATACCAGAATAAGGAAAGAAGTTAATATCATTTCTGGAAATCAGTTTTTTTAGTCGTCAAATTTAATTTTTCGATAGCTACTTTTTTACTTCTTTTTAGTTTTAAAGCTACTTTTTTTTATTAATTATCGAGTGCAAAGTTTGTGAATACTAGAAAAACTTAACTTGAAATACTTGTAAATACTAATTTTAAAAGAAAAATATTTTGAAAAACTTGAAAATGTTTTCGCATTTTGAAAGTGGATTTTATTCTTTGGACTAAGGAATGTTCTTGAAATTTGTTATTCAGGAACTTACGGCAGTCACGAGGATACGACAGCCAGCAACTCCAGCTCCAGCACCTAAAACAGACGCTTGGGTGATTCCCGACATTCAATGCAACGAACCGGAAGACGGAGTCTTCTACGCTCAAATGGGACCCACAGGCGGAAAACACGGATATCCAGCAATCACTGGTATGTGATTTCGAATTTTTTGAATTCTTCTAAATTATTTTGTAATTTAGTAGGTACTGAACTATGTTAGTAATTTATCATTACTTTTCTTTGACCTAAAGGACACGTTGGATGGGGAATATCCTGGTACATTAATGGACTTTTAATTCCCGTGATTCATGTAGTGAGAGGTAAAAAATACAATTTTGTGGTAGAAGGAGGTGATGATGCAGATATTCCCGCTCGCTATCATCCATTCTACATCACTGATGATCCAGTCGGTGGTTATCTGCACAAAACTCCAGAAGAAAGAGCGGTAAATATTGTCTAGAATTTTCATTTAATTCATTGGTAAAAAAAAATTACACTGAACTTAAAAATGAAGTTCATTTGGGTTATTTTCTGGATCAGTACGACTTTTATTTTGTGTGTGTTTTTTAGAAAGTGAAAATCTTCGCCGGAGTTCGTCGACAAAGGGGAACCGTCAGGCCAACTGGAGTAGGTCGATTCTGTAATTGGGTTCCAGATCAGAATTCACCACTAGCCGATGATTTCGCGTCATTTGGCGCCTATCAACGAATTTTGTCCCTTATTTGCGATCCAGGCGAACCGGGAATTGTGCAATGGACTCCCGACGAAAATACACCCGACACTGTCTATTATCAGGTTTATAATCTTAAAAATATATTCTTTAAAACATTTTATTTTTGAATGAACTTTTTGTTAATGGAATGATGGTGAAATTTTAGTGCTTCACTCATCGCTATCTGGGTTGGAAGATCCAAGTGCACGACTCTTGCGATTTGAATCAAGCGGGCGCGGCGAGCGAGATTCGGGAAACATACGCAGAACTGGAAGCGGAGCCGGAAATGGAGGGCGATCTCAAGGGTGGAGCCAGTATTCGTGTCTCGAGCAAGGTAACACCAGCGCCAGAATTCTTCAAAGAACATCAAGAATACGGTCAAGCGTATGGTCATCGTCATTTCTCGCATCATTCAGCGACTAACCCGAGCAATTTAGGTTCACACATAAAGCAACTAACCCGTACGCATGTGCCCTATGATCATCATCGTGATACTTACGAGCGCTTGCAGTTACCATCATATACGAATCTAAAATCAACGTTCAATCCTTCCAGTGCGATGAATATGCCCCATTCCAAAGACATTCGCATTCACACACTCGCTTATCCCCGTCTCAAAGAAGAATCATCATTCCCCACCCCTCATCAATCTCCCATCGAGCCAATAATTCCTCCCGTTTTCTCTCACTCCCCCCATCCAATCATGGAACCCGAACAAGAGGTTCTCTCCTCTAACCAACAATCTAAACTCATTCCAGATTCAAAACCCGGCACATTCATGAGCTTTGGACCCGTGAAATATTCCTATCCCCTTCAGGAAGCACCGCCGCAGACCATTCTTTTCACCAGAACACCACAACACATCTTCCATCAACCACCGAGACCGCAACTGATGATCCTACGTAGAGCACCTCAACCCCGTCGACCAATGCCATCGCCAATGATCACAATGAACAATCCAATGATGTCCAGGCCGCCCGTATTTATCGAGAGGAAAAAATCCGTCTACCGTACTCCCATCGTGAAATCCCAACAACCCCCCCATCAGGTAACCAAATTAATAAAAATCGACAACAAACAGCAACGCGCGAAATTAGAACCAAAAGTCTCTGAAATCGAACCATCAGAAACAATTTCTCATCTAGCCCCCATGAAACCAGCAAGAAATACCGGTTTCAATCCCGACTCAATAGTCATCGAAGGTGGTTTCAAACCAATTCTAAAAAGCATCGAATCAATCCAAGATCGTGAAATCCCCCAATTTCGCTCTGTGGACAATTTCGAACCAATGTTCATTCCCACGGCCCTTGATCGTGACGGTAAAAAAAACAAAAAGAAAACACAAAATTACCCAAAAGTACGACTCGATGATCTCGATGACATGGAAATGGCCGCCGATCGATTAGACTCATACTATTTACCATCGAATTCAAAAAATGACGAGACTGTCATTACTTTTGATGGTAAACGAGTGAAGGACTCCAGTCTTGCGCGATCAATTCCCAAGAGTGTTGAACGTCCCAAAAAGAAATCTGATCTACTCACTCGAACACCACAATTTGGACGTTTTAGAGGTGATTTACCGCCGATTATTTCTCCTGATGTGCGAAATGATGAATTGGAACGTAGACGAATCACGTCGAAGGAGATTTCAGTGCCGGAATTAACATCAATAACTCACAATAATCATCGAGCGGGCAATACAAAATTGACATTGATTGAGAGAGCAAAGAGATCGGCAGCGCATGAGGAGAGAAATAATTCGAGTCATGGTGTCAATCATGATCGCAATGGACATACGTATGATCATACTGGTTATGTGCAAGATCATGAGGAATACATTCATCACAGTGAATTTGAGCATAATCATAGTAATCACGATCACAGTAATCATGATCATAGCAATCATGATCATAATAATCATTCGGATCACGATAAACATAGTCATGATCATAATGATGGAGGTTTGACCTTGGCCAGCACTGGACAAGTGATTATTGCCAATATTGAATATATTGTTTTAACAGCCATTTTATATTATATCATTTGATGATTCAAGTTTAAATTTCATCAAAAAAAAAAAAAAAATAAGAAAATTTGATGATTTCTTTAACTTTGAGAATTTGAGGATTCAATTTGAGATGATTCAGTGAAATTTATCAAGTTTTTCTTTGTAGAAACTTTCTTGATACTTTGACTATTATGTCTTCCAAGGATCAAAAGCCAAAATAGCCGGGACTGTCGAGATCATTGTTGAGCCTATTGGCAAAAATCATTTTTTAAATTTTTATTTCTTTACTTTACAAGATGTATTTTTTTATTTTATAATATATTTTTATATTATATATCATTAGGGTTGCCACAAGTCAAGGAAATCGGCGAAAATAAAATCAGAGGAAATTTTATCAAAATAACTGGAAAAAATATCAAATTTCTAGATTTACTAATTAAATATTTATTGAAAAAATTATTTAAGTTTTAAATAATTTTAAATTCAAATTTTTTAAAGAATTATGTTTCTAAGAAACTTTGAATGAAGTTTTTTAAAATTTATTTCCAATAATTAAATTCTAGAATAACCTTCTAAAAATTATCAATTATAATTAACTTAGAAAAATTTTAGTTAAAACTGTTGCAATTTTCAAAAATAATTAAACTTCAATAAATTACCATTCTTGAAAATTTTAATTTGTATAAAGAAATAAATAATAAATTAATAATTAAATGTTTATTTAAAAAACTAATTTCAATTTTAAAGAATTGTATTGCAAATTAAAAAAATTAGGTTTCTGGAAAAATTAATTAAATTGTTTTAAAACTTGAATTTTTAATAAAATTTGATTAAAGAACTATAAAATTAATGAAAATTTTGGAAAATTGAATTAAAAATAATTAAATTTATTAAAAAATTTAATTAGATTTTAAATAATTCAATTTACAAAACATTTTAATCTACACTGAAAAAAAATTTAATTGATTCAAATAACCGATTAATTGACTATTATCAATTAAATATTTAATTGAATCAAATAATATTTATTGGAGTCAATTAAATAGTATTTGCTTTAAATACTGAAATGGTTGGCTCAAATACCATTTAATTGACTCCACTAAATATTATTTGATTCAAATAAATATTTAATTGATAATAGTCAATTAATCGGTTATTTGAATCAATCCAATGTTTTCTCAGTGTATAAACATTAGTAAATAATTGAATTTTAAAAAAGAGTCACACTTAAATAAATTAATACGTTTGTTAGTAAGCATTAAAGTATAAAATAAAAAAAATTAAATTATTTTAATTTCTAAAGAATTGCAATTAAAATTTTTATTGATTACTCAATTTAAAAAAAATTTTAATTTAAAATTATTTTAAAAAATTAAAATTTCAGAAAATGTTATTCAAAATTCTGAAAAAATAAGGGTTCTTAGCAATTTTAATTTAATTTTAAAAATACATACTTGAATATTTATGAAAAAAACATTATATAAAATCATCAAATTAATGAAAATTTTGTAAGTCAATTAAAAATAATGATTATTTTCAAATGTAAAATTATTACATTCCTTAAAGAATTTCATTATAGAAGCATAAAAAAGTCTTAAAAACATTTAAAGCAAATAAGATTTTTTTAAAAACTATTGCAATTTTTAAATATTAATTGATTTTCAGAAGGTTTTAATTAAACTAGAATTTTTGAAATTTCAATTGCTGAGAAGAAATTATTGATTAAAATTATATTAAAAACTCTGAAAAAATTATGTTTCTTAGAAAATTTAATTCAATCTTTCAAACAATTTTACTACAGAATGAACAAATTTATAACGATTTTGTGAAATTAAATTAAAAATAATTTAATTTGTTAGAGAATTTTATTACATATTTAATCTAATGATCTAGTTAATTTTAGAAAGATTTAAATTAAATTTTTTTTCTAATTTGAATTTCCGAAAAAGTTAATTTGAAATTCTGAAAAATTATTGTTTTACAATTTTCAATTCTATTTTTAAAAGATAATTGAATCTTCTCAATTTATCTTTTTGTTTATAAATATAAGCAAAAAATTGAAAATTGTTTTAAATTCTATTAAGAATAACTGGATATTTTAGGAATTTTATTGAAATTTTTATAAATTTTTAAAAATAATTGAAGAAAGATAACCACAATTTCTTTTTTAAATAGATAGACAACCTTAAAGTTTTGAAACAAAATTGTTGCTTCTAAAAATTATCTTTTTTTCATAATTGAACTCCTTTTGAATTTTTTTTTTAAGAGGAGTCAGGGAAAAAGTTAAAATTTTTGTCTAGAAATTAAGAGAAAATCAGGGAAAAACAAAATAAAATTTTCGTGACAATCCTAATAATATTTTATATTTTATATAATATTTTATATTTTTGATATTCTAGTTTTCTCATTTTTATTTTTTGTTTTGTTTTGTAATTTTGTACTAAGTTTACATCGTTTATTTTTAATATTTATAATTAATTTACGTTTCTTTATTTTTTAATCCATTTGTTTAATTATAGTATTTTTTTAGTTTTTCTTTTCTTTTTTTATTTATTACTTTATGGATTTTATCGTTCTTGTACGTATTTTATAGATGCATTTGAACTTCGGTGAATCAAATTTCATAACTTTAAAACGCTCAACTTAAAACTTTAAAAGAAGTTTTTACTTTTATCGAAGTTCGACTGTATTCACATTTTTCGTATAAACCAGAATTTCTTTGGTAATAACTTTTTTTTTGTTGAATTTAAAAAATGATTTTCGCAAGTAGTATTAAAAATCGATAAAAATAGAGGAAAATTATTTTTATATAGTTTGCCTCTAGAAATAAAATAAGAATAATGATTTCCTTCCAAGGAGGATTAGAAAAGAAAATCTCCTGCATTTTTCCAAAGTATTTGGCAATTTATCTTCTCTTATCTTCCACTAAACTCATATTTATCCTTTTACCCCTTCAATATATTTACAATAGACTCTTTTTTTAATAATATGAAAATAGGAAAAAAAAACATTGAACGATGCGCTACACCTTAGCCTGCTGAATTTTTTTTTATACATCATAATGTTCAACACTCGTATAAATCTTAAAGAAAAGATTTAAGAACTGCCTTATTTATCAATCGTAGAATTTAAGTTATATTAGTTTTTTAGACAATCGACAAAAGAAAAAAAATTCTTGGTGCCCATGGGCAACAATTGCTCACTAGAAAAAAAAATATACAGTTGCTCACTCAACGCCGTGAGGTATTTTTACGTCATTAAAATAAATAGAATCACGTACAAAATAGTTCATGAAACTGAAAATTACAATGTTTAATTTTTTTATATTTATATTTTTTTTATTTTTATGTTTACAAAACAGCAGTTTGTTTTTTTCCATCACATATTTTTCTATTCTATATCGAAAAAATAATCATTTTCTTTGAAATAGAATAATTGAAAATTATTCCTCGGATCTTTTTATTATTCCTTTTTAATTGCTAACGTTTATATAATTAATATTTCTCATTTATAAAAGAAAAAAGTTTGGAATTAGTGAAAAATATGAAATAAAGGGAAAAAATTATTTTACTGATAAACTTTGCAATTTTCAGTTTCATTGTATTCTTTAAATGCGAATCAGTCAAAATTTGGACGAATTTAAATCATCGTAGACTTTTTAATACAAATCAATTTGTTGATTTTAAACATTTGTTATTTTAATATTAAAATTTGATTTATGATTGTAATTTTCAGTTTAATTAGGTTAATTATTGTTAACAAATTTTGTACTACGTAAATGAAACACATACAAATTATTTATTTGATAGATTGATTATTTAATACATACTCCGATTATATTGAATTAATTTAAAATTTAAATTAATTATTTATTTTATTATCAATTTAATAATTAATTTAATTAATAAAATATTAAATTGTCCACAGATTAAAAATTTGAGTTCAGAGTTTTGATAGTTAGCTTAAAATTTACATTATAAAAATGAGTCACGGATTTAAATTCGTTAAAAATTTTGGCAAATTTAGATTTAAAGAATGAACTTTTATTTTTAAGACGTAGTTCTGTAACGAAAAATTGTTAAGTTTGCAGAAGCACGTGTACATAGGTATAATGTATTGTTAATAAACGAGAAACAAAAACATTTTTTATTATTTTCATCCAAATGTCATTGAAAATGTGCGTCTATTTAATTAATTTTGAAAATTTAAAGAAAAAATACCAGATAAATAATAATACACTAAATTTAATTAATTAAATCAATTAATTTAATTACCGTATGATTACTCGATAATTAAATTAATTGTACTGTTAAAATACCGCCGAGTGATAAATTTAATTATTATTAAATTTAATCAACGTAAAAAGTAAAAAAAATTGAAGAAAAAAGCTAAATTCGTTATACACTGATAATTAAAATTGTGATTTTTTTTATAAACGATAAAGATTTTAATTCTGAAAAATATGGGAATTAAAATATTTATTCATCATTTCAGGTAAAATAATAACTATTCGTAATTTTGTTTAACGATTTTTAATTTTTATCACAAGCAAAAATAAAAATTATATAACATTATAGAATTGTTAAACAATGAGAATCCATTGAGGATTTAATCCCATTGTTGATAAATTAATTCCACCTCGTTTTGATCGGCATCACAATCTATCATTTTATCGCAATCATCATTTTTTGTTATTTTCAGTTTAGAAACAACTCTCGATGGATCGTCTAAATTCTCGTTTGTTTTGGGAGTGAAAAATTTATGTATGTTCCAATTACGATGATTGATTTGTAAAGTTGTTGGGTAAGTGAAAATTTGATTAATTGGAGTGAATATTACAGCTTCAGTGGTTGTTACACGATAATTTTGTTTACCATCGACAGGTGGTCTTGTAATTAAATAACCACGATTTCTACAGTATTTACATTTTCGAGAAACTGGAGAATAAATATTACAAATTATATTTTTTAAATCCAACCATATTTGTGGAAAATTTTCATATTGAATACAGTTGTGAGTTCTTTTTCGTTGGTTTTTGTATTTTTCATTTACAGATCGTTTGGAATTTCTCTTCTCTTTTTTAGGTGATTGATTCTGAAGTTTTTCGTTGTCCTTTTTTTCTAATTTGACAATTTTTTTTGGTAGATCTTTCGATGTTGGTGTTGGAGTCAAGCTTTTTGAAATTTTATCACCATTTTTTGAATTTGTGATATTTGTTAAATTTTTAGATAATTGAACTTTTTGACTAGGACGTGAAGGTGTAACACTTTTGTTAATTTTCTGTGTTACTGTCTTCGATTTTTGAGTTATTTTTTGAGTCACACTTTTTGATATTTCCATTTTTTTAGCCACGCCTTTAGATGTGGCATTTTTTGGAGTTGCAGTTTTTAAGGATGTACTTTTTTCAGTAACTTTTTGAGTCGCACTTTTCGTAGTTTTTTGAGGCACACTTTTTGAAGTTACAATTTTTTGATTCGCATTCTTTGTTGTTACAATTTTTTGTGTCGTATTTTTTGTTGTAACAATTTTTGGAGTCGTATTTTTTGATACTGTAGATTTTGGTGTTCTGCTATTAATAATTGTAGTTCTATTCGTTGTTTTTGTGTTGATTTTTTTTGGAGTTGTAGAAACGACGATTGGAGATTTCGTTGTCGATGGAATGCAATATGTCGAATGATAACTGTAAACTTTCAACGATTTCGATGTTTGATAAATTTGATCAAAATCTTCCGATTCAACGGTTATTTCAACGATGTCTTTATCTCTCCACGAACGATTCACAATTGCAGATCTGGAACTTCCCACGATTTTCATGATTGTTGTGAAATCATCGGCAGCAGGTATGAGAACAAATGTGTACCTCAATCTGTAAAAAGAAACAAGTTTTGATGAAGTCAAAAATTTAAAATCAAATTTCATACTTTTTTCCCCTCATATTCGGGTTTTTAGTAAAATAAAATTTATTATTTTAAGAAAAAAAGAGATTAAAATACTTGCGCTGATTTTTTGCACTTTGAGACGTTGCTGCACACGACTACATTATGATTAATGAAAAAGAATGTAATTAGAAATATTTCTGCAACTCGCATATTGAATTCTTACTATCAGATTCAATGAAAAATCATAAAATTCATATCAGCCAGTTATGGGCACTAAAAATGGCAATAAATTCCAAAGTCATGGCACCATTTGCGATATCACAAAATTCTTCGTAAGACTTAATCTTATCTATAAATAAGAAAATGATTATACAATATATTGTTTAATAAAAATCTAAATCATTTGTAACTTTTTCCACTGTTTTTTTTTCAAATTACTTAAAGGTCTAAATTTTTTTGGTTCAAAAGAATTACACAATTTGGCCTTTAGCATTTCTTTGTTAGAAATAAAGAACAAACAAATTTTTATAAAAACAACTTGTTAACAACTGTACACATCTTTCAAGATTCGTAGCGCACATGAGCAGCATATTTAATTTAATTGTTTAAATAATTCCATTATTTAAAATTAATAAATTTAATTAATCACTCTCAGTGAATATTAAATCTAAATAAATGAAATATCCTTCAGGGTACTGTAATATTTTTCCATTAAATTAAATTTACATCTATTACTCAATTTTTAAAGAAATCCCCTCCTCCAAAATAATGGGGGGGGGGAATAACATCAGCCTACAGATTAGTTAATTAATTAATGAAATGAATTATTTCACTTATTAACAGCGAATTATAATACTGAACATGAGAAAGAAAAAAAGGCGCAAAATGTCCAGTTTTTAAACAGGTAAAAAATATCAAATAAAAAATTCGCGACAAAATTACGCGTTTGGCAGTAATAAACAAAAATATTAAGTACATTTCAATATAAAATATCGAATTGAGATTTAAAAATAAAAAGAAAAAATGTATTTTGTCTCACGGAGAAAAAAAAATAAAAATATTGAAACGATGCCGCACTGATTTTTTGAATTTCACGAATCTTAGTAATTTTCATTTTAGAAGTGAATTATGCACAAGTTATTACTTATTAATTTGTACACAATTATATAAATTATACAATTATTATAATAGTGAGCTTAAGTTTCCTTTTTTTATATGTATATTTATATATATAAATAAAAGCTTCCAAAAAAAAGGTCTCACATTTTGTAAAATGAAAATCTTGTTTCAAAAGTATAGTAATCTAAAATAATTGGGTTCAAATCCTAATTCTCTAGATATATTATTTTTAAATTAACTTCTAACAATTAAAGTAGCTTAACAATAATAAAGCAAACTCACCTACTTTCTAAAATTCATACTATCAAAATCATCTTTAACAATAAATTACACCATTATCGAGAAACAGGACGAACCCAATTAGAAATTGTCAAAAAAAAAAAATATAGTAATATATATTTTTCATAAACGGAATCTTATTCATTTATACGGAATTAATAACACGTTTCCTGCATTCATAGCTACAGGATTGCCACAGATCAGGGAAGTCAGGGAATTAGATTTTTGAAAAATTTTCCAAAAGAATTCAATTATTTAAAAAAAATTTTTAATAAAATTCGCAAACATTTAATTTTTTCTATCAATAATAAAAATTTCATAGAAATAATTCAATTATTTACAAATTTTTTTACAAATTTCTTCGCATTAAATCCATTATTTTCATAAATAATAAAATTCTTCGCAAAAAATGAATTATTTTTAATAGTAGAATTTTAATTAAATTTTTTGAAATAATTCAATTATTTTTTAAAATTTTGAATAAAGAATTATTCGAAAAAAAAATGTTTTTGTCCAAAAATTCAATTATTTTCATAAATTCTAAAATTCTTCGCAGCATTTCAATTGTTTTCAATACAATTTTATTTGTGATTCTCGAAAAATTCAATTATTTAAAAAAAATTTATTGAAATTCTTCAAAAGAATTCAATTATTTAATAAAGTTTTATTAAAATTCTTTAAAAGAATTCAATTATTTTAAAAAATGTTAATCAATTTCTTCTAAATTTAATTATTTTCACAAATTTTGATAAAATTTTTTATGAGAATTCTATTTTAGAAATCTTTAATTATTCTATCAATTTTTTTCCTTTTGTATTTAAAAAATTGAATACTCAAAAAATTTTCTGTTCACATATTCAAGTTAGTTATTTGCTGTTTTGTTTCCTAATATTTGTAATAATTTTTCTTTTTGAATATTTTCAAATTTTCAAATTAATGTATTGAAAATCATTGAATTCTTGCAAAGAATTTTATCAAAAAATTTTGAAAATAATTAAATTCCTTCGAAAAATTTTATTATTTATGAAAATAATTGAATTCTCGCGAAGAATTTTACTATACAATTTTTAAAAATCCTATTTAAATTCTTTTGAAGAATTTCTATGAATTTTTTTTTTAATAATGAAGTTTCTTTAATAATTTTAATTAAAAATTTTGAATGTAATTGAATTTTATAAAAATTTTATTTATGAAAATTAATTTAATTTTTGCGATGAATTTTTATAAAAATAATTGAATTGTCTCGAAGGATTTATTAAAATTTTAGAAAATAATTGGACTCTTTCGAAAAATTTTTTTCAAAATTTAAAAAGAAATTAAATTGCTTCGAAGGATTTATTAAAATTTTAGAAAATAATTGAACTTTTTCGAAAAATATTATTAAAAATTAAAATGAAAAACTGAATTCTTTCATGAAATTTTATTAAAATTATATTAAAAATAATTGAATTTTTGCAAAGAATTTTACTATTTATAAAAATAATTGAATTGCTTTGAAGGATATAATTTTAGAATGTTTCTGGTTCCTAATTGAATTCTGTTGAAAAAATTTATATCGAATTAAGAAAAAAATTGAATTCTTTCGTGAAATTTCATTAAAAATAATTGAATTTTTGCAAAGATTTTTACTATTTAAAAACATAATTGAATTGTTTCAAAGGATTTATTAAAATTTTTTTTTAAATAATTGAATGTTTGCAAAAAATTTTACTATTTATAAAAATAATTGAATTCTCGCGAAGAATTATATTAAATTTTTTGAATATAAACAATAAGAATTAATTGTGTACTTAATAAGTCAATTTAAAAAATTTTAATTACGAAATTATTCAAAAATTTCTATTTGAAAATAAAAAACTTTCTAATTTGTATAATAATTGCATATTAAAAGCATTATAGAGTGAATTTTTAGAAATAATTGAATTTTTAAAAGGTTTCAAATTAAAATTTTGGAAAATTTGAATTTTTCATACTTTTAACTAACAATTTTTTAGAATTAATTTTTTTTTGAAAACGTTCAATTGAAATTTTTTTTTGAAATTATTTCATATTTTTATTTTCTAATATATTTCAAAAATTATTAGAAATAATTGATTTAAAGAAAAATTTTATTTAACAAAATTATTGCTGTTTTTGAATAATTTTATAATTAAAATTCTTTAGTGTCTGGATAAAACAAAATTAAATTTTTGTGGCAACCCTGAATAAAAATTGATCATCTGCTAGCAGTATCATAGAATTTTTCAGCAACATTATTTCAACAACGATTGCTGAAAAGTAATTTGATAATAATATTTTCAAACATTTTCTTAGAGAAAATTGTTTTCAGCCTCAGAATCAAATGAACTATTGCAAAAAAAAAGAAGATTTTTCTTATGAAATTAAACAGCAAGTTGTGAGACACAACTTTTTTTTGGGAATTAAACAACTGGCTGATGCCAGACAATTTTTCCACTCAAGCAACCTGAGACAAGGAGGCAGTGTCTTGGAGAAAATTTCGTACTAACAACGATATCCGAGTGACTGACATTAGTTGCCAATTCGTTTAATTGTACCGATTCATTGAATGCAGGAACACAGCCGGACAATTCTTGGCATTCGTTGGAAAATGCGAGTAGACGAACGCCATAACCAAACGGTGAACATATAACTCGTCCATCGGCCGAAAAGCACAATTCTTTAATGTAACCCGAACCAACATTTGGCTCCTCAATATAATGCGTGAGTCTCGGTATATTTTGATGGATTTTTTCATTTCTCGTCAAAGCGTACATTGGCTGTTGCGATTGGCAATTTTGTCCCGAGCCACGATAACGATTCTCGCCCGTTATCACAACTGTGTATGAGGATCGCGGTAAACTGACATTTATCGCATTATTAGAACGCGACGCAACCCATTCGCGCCATTCATTTGATGAATGCATTTCGCGTCCTCTTTCGCGTCGCGCTCGTGTCTCACGAAAAGCCACCAATGCTTCCCAAACATCTGCCGAACTCACGTGTAATTCAACACCAGTTGAGAAATTACGACGATCCGACATTATTCTTCGTCGGGTCTCATTTAATTGTGCGCCCAAACGTTCATCGTCTCTTGCTGCCGATGCTGCGGGCTCAGCTCCTCGTTGTGGTGGCCTCTCATCGTCGTCATTCTCTTCGTTTAATTCGTGATCCGATGCTTCGTGATTTGTCTCGTCGTGATTTGTCACACGATTGGCAATGTCGACAATTGTAAAATTATTCGATGCATTTCGCGTCGTTCGTAAATTGCGCGCTTGTAGACGAGAACTGCGTCTTGAGCCTTCCTGCCAGGTATTTGTTCGTGATGGGAAAACGGGTTGAGTGACCTCGGTCCTCACGAAGGATGTGGACCTACCCTCAGGAGTGGCTGGTGAATTTCTGCCACGATTCGCTCGATCGATCATGAAGGTCGACGTTATACCTGAACGTGAGGGTTGCGGCTGTTGAGAGTCATCCGATTCTTCGGACACATCGTTGAATGGCAAATTTCGCTCGTCTGCTTCTCTCATCAGTTCATCAACTTCTGATATGTCACGTTCTTGAATATCATGCACACACGTCCACTGAAAATTTTCAAGTCAATCCTTTAGTCTATCAAATCGAATAAATAAGAGATAATAGTACTTTTTCTCTTTTAAATAAGTAAAAAATGGTAAATTATTAAATAAATTATATTCTAAACAAGAAACTTTACGTTCATTACAGGGCTCAAACCATTGAAAGTATTTGATAATACAGACATTACGGAACAAAAATGAAAAATTACGGACCAATTACTGACAAAAATATAACCAGTCCGAGTAAAATTAGAAAACATTTTACTTAAATCTATAAATTAAATTTTTTATAACTATAAAACATGAAGATATCGATAACTCCAAGTCTTCGACTCGGAGTGATCGATTTCTTCATGTTTTATAATAATTAAAGATGAACGAATGATAAAATCATTATCTATTCAAATTACTATTTTCAAGAATTATCAACTAAAACTCTTCTTTAAATCAATTATTTTTAATAATTTTCGAAAAAGTTCTATGATAATTTTCAAATCCATTTGTTTACAATATTCAATTTTACGAAATTGCAATTATTCGTAAACTCTTAAATATTACATAATAAAAACTTCAAATAATATAAAAAAAATCAGCAATTAAACTTTCTCAAAAAAATTAATTTCAAAATTCATATTATTTCTAAAAATTACAAAATTCTACAATTCAATTATTTAATTATAAAAATAAATAATTTATCGAATAATTGAATGTTTCTTAAAATTCAATTCCCATAAAGAATTTTATTAACAAATTTTTAAATAATTCAATTCTTTCGACCAATATTAATAAAATTTTTTAGAGTAATTACATTTTTCAATAATAATTGAATTTCTTAATTATTTATGAAAATAATTAAAATGTTGGTGTAGAATTTTATCAAATTTTTTTTTTATTAATTGAATTCTATTAGAAAAGTTTTCAAAGTAATTGAAATTTTGACAAGAATTTTATTACAACTTTTGAAAAAAATTCAATTTCAGAGAATTTGATTATTTATAAAATTCAGTTGCTAACAATTCAATTTTACAAAATTTCAATTATTCGTAAATAATTATTCAATTGAACATGTATTAGAAAATAAAAACTTGACATAATTTCAAAAAAAAATCCGTAATTAAACTTTCTCAAAAAAATTAATTCCACAGAATTGTTAGTTAAAAATATAAAAAATTCAGATTTTCAAAAATTTTAATTTGAAACCTTTTCAAAATTCTATTATTTCTAAAAATTTACGCTCTAATGCTTTTAATATTCAATTATACCTAATCTAAAATTTTAACTGAAATCCATTTTTAAATCAATTTTTATTAGAAAATTCTACTAAAATTCAATTAATTAAATACAAAAGAAAACAATTTATTGATTGCATGGTTCTTAAAATTTAATTCTCGTAAAGAATTTTGTCAATAAATTTTTAAATAATTGAATTCATTTGACGAATTTTAATAAAATTTTTAGAAATAATTACATTTTTCGAGGAATTAGATTAAAATTGTATTAAAAGTCATTAAAATTCTGTGATGAGTTTTATTATTTACGAAAATAATTGAATTTCTGAAATAATATGTAACTTTTCCAAAATAAATTTTCTTTTCGTGTTTTCAACTAAAATTCTTCTCTATAAGTAATATTTTTAAACATTTTTGAAAAAGTTCTTTGAGAATTTTCAAATTGAATTGCTAACAATTCAATTCTACAAAATTTCAATTATTCGTAAATAATTATTCAATTGAACATGTATTAGAAAATAAAAACTTTAAATAATTTAAACAAAAATCACAATTAAACTTTCTCAAAAAAATTAATTCCACAGAATTGTTAGTTAAAAATATGAAAAATTCAGATTTTAAAAAATTTTAAATTGAAACCTTTTCAAAATTTAATTATTTCTAAAAATTCAAGCTATATTGCTTTTAATATTCAATTATTATCTAAAATCTTAACTGAAATTAATTTTTAAATCAATTTTTGTTAGGATATTCTACGAGAATTCAATTATTTAAATAGAAAAATAAATAATTTATTGAATAATTGAATGTTTCTTAAAATTCAATTTCCATAAAGAAGCGTTTTCAACAAATTTTCAAATAATTGAATTCTATCAACGAATTTTAATAAAATTTTTAAAAATAATTACATTTTTCGAGAAATTTTATTAAAATTTTGTATTAAAAATAATTGAAATTCTGCAATGAGTTTTATTATTTATGAAAATAATTGAATTCCTAAAAAGAATTTTATTATTTACGAAAATAATGCAATCTCTGTAAAAATTGTATTATTTATGAAAATAATTGAATGATCGCGAAGAAAATAAAAAATTTGTAAATAATTGAATTCCTGTGAAATTTTTATTATTATATAAAAATAATTAAAGGTTTTCGTAGAATTCTATTAAATTTTTTTTAAATAATTGAATTCTTTTGAAAAATTTTATTAATACATAGTAGATATTAAAAATGATTAAATTGAGGAAAATTTTTGAAAATAATTGAAATTCTGCCAAGAATTTTATTAAATTTTTTTGAAAATAATTGAATTTGGGAGAAGAATTTAATTATTTCTAAAGATAATTTAAATTTTGATGACAATTTTTAAAAAATTTTAAACATAATTGAATTTCTACGAAGACTTATAGTACTTTAGAAAATAATTGAATTTCTGCAATCATTTGTAATTTCTCTAAAATTCTCCAAAATTATATCGTACAATTTACGAACTTTTCGTCTTTTCTTAATCAAATTACGGACCTTTTTTCAAAAAAACTGACTTTACGGACTTCAAGCAAATTTACGGACCCTTTATGGGATTTACGGACCTAGTTAGAGCCCTGATTTTAAATAAGTAAACAGGTAAATTATATTCAAAACAAGACCCTTTACGCTCCAAACATTCAAATCAGTTTAATTGTTCAATTTTTTTGGTTCTTCATTCAAATTTGTATCTCATTAGGAAACAATTTTTCGTATATTAAAAAAATTAATACTGTTTAAAATTTAGATGAATAAATTAGATCCTCATCCTGATGATAAATATATTGAAGATTTATTTTTAATAAAAATAATTTTACCTCTGATTTCTCTCCGATACTAATATTCCGGGAAAGAGCACACCATCCTTGTGGATGGACTTGCAAACTAGATATCACTTCGGCGTCATTTCCATCAGGGAAATCTGTCAGGAATTCAATGCGATTGTGTTTGCGAGTATGTGAAAATAGATGAGTATAATTTGCTGCCATCGGAATGGTTGTTTGCGAGACTTGCATCAAACGATACATATTAGGCTGAAATTTTCAATCAAATTAAATTATAGTAAAATTAATCAAGTCTCTATATACCTAATTTAGTAAATAAAAATAATAATAATAATAATGATTTCATTGAAACAATTAATTACCTTGAAGCCTCGCAAGTCAGTTGCTAAAGCACTAAGCTTGAGATCGTGTATTATTATTAAATAACCGGAAGTTGTACAAATGAGCATTTTACTAGCATCAGGACTTAATCTCGTTCTCATCAATCCATTCGTTTGAAATACTCTAGTATACAAACAGCTACTTTCTGTAAAACTAAAAAGGAAAATTCAATTTAACGTTTCTAAGATTTTGGCAATTTTATTCTATAAATTGTAATTATAATTAGTAATAATTAGTCATAATTAGGTAGTAATAATCTATATTAATAATCGTTGTATTTCGGATCTCTGTTTAAAGTTATAGTTTTCTTTGTTTGTATTTTTGTTTCCTACTTTTTTGAGTAATTTTTCTTTTTAAATGTATCGAATTTTTAAAATTTTTCAAATTTTTAAATTTTAGTTTTGAAGATTAAATAATAACAAAAATTAATTAAACAAAATTGTTTGAATTAAAAAGCATAATTTAATGTGTAACTTCAACTCAACATTCTAAAACATTAAAATTGTTACTTATAAATTCTTAAAGAAAAATTCATTTTTATTAATGCAAAATACAGTTAATGTTATTCATTTTGTAATAAAAACTGGATTTTATTTATTTTAATGTCATGTTCTATGTATAATTAGAAAACTAATTTTCAGGAATTTCATAGCAGTTTCGATTAATTAGTTCAAATTATTATTAATTCAGATTTAGAGCAGTTTGTAAAACTATTTTTGCAAGAAAAATTTAGCAATAATTTTATTTAACAATAATTGGTGATTTTTAGCAATTTTAAAACAAACATTATTTTTAATTTTTTATAATTTTTGTAAATTTTATAATTTTTTATTTTTTATCTGAAATAATTCAAGTCATGTATAGAATTTATTATTTTTATTTATTATTTATTATTTATAAAAATAATTGAAACGCTGTGAAAATTTTTATTATTTATAAAAATAATTAAATTCTTAAGAAGAATTTTATTAATTACAAAAATAATAAATTTCTTGCATAAAATTGTATTCAAAATTTTTGTTAGTAATTGAATTGTAATGATAAATTTTATTCAATCTTTTTAAAAATAATTGAATTCTTTTGAGAATATTAAAATTTTATTGAAAGTAATTGCATTTATTCGAAGAATTTTATTAAAATTTTCAAAAATAATTGAATATCTGCGAAAAATTTGATAACATTTTTTTTAAATAATTGTGTTCTTGCAAAGAATGTTATTAATTACAATAATAATTAAATTCTTGCCTACAATGTAAAAAAAAATGTTGATAATTTAATTGTTTTGGAGAATTTTATTTTAATTTTTTTAAATAATTGATTCTGGAAAAATTTTTATTATTTGTAAAAAGAATCGAGTTCTTGGGAAAAATTTTATTAAAATTTCCATTGGGAATAATTGATTTCGAAGAATTTTGTTGGGAATTTTTGAACATAATTGATCCTGGGAAAAGTTTTATTGTTAAAAGAATTGAGTTCTTGGGGAAAATTTGATTAAAATTTGCATTAGAAATAATTGGTTTCGAAGAATTTCGTTGAAAATTTTTGAAAATAATTGATTTTCAGCAAAGAATAGCATTGAAATTTGTCAAAATACATAATTAAATTCTTTGGAGAAGTTTTATTAAAACTAAAATAAAAATAATTAAATTCTTGCGAAGAATTTTGATTATTTATGAAAATTATTGATTTTTAGAAAGAATTTTATTAATACTTCTTGAAGAAAAATTCAAGAAAAAAATCCAGGATGTTATAAAACATTGAATTGTTTTGAACAATGCTATTAAATATTATTGAAAAGTAATTGAATTTCTGCCACACAAATTTTATTTAAACTTTTTAAAAATAATTTAATTCCTAAGAATAATTTTCTGATTTATAAAAAAAATAAAATTCTTGGGAAGAATTTTATTAAAATTTTTGAGAATAATTGAATTATTTTCAAGATAGTAATTCATTATTCAATTAGTTAATGAATGAACTGTTTTTAATTTTGAAGCAATAATTAGTAATAATAATAGTTAATAAGTTTACTGTTTATTGTCAGATCTGTTCTTTTACTTACCTATTAATATCCCAAGTGTAAATACTACCATCGAAACCACTAGTCAACAATAAACCATCTTTAGGACTATATTCGACATTTTTTACCCAATTGGAATGTCCTTGTAAAGTTCTGATTCTTTGCTTCAAATTCCTCGCATCCCAAAGAGCTACCGTACTGTCGTCAGAACAAGTTGCAAATATACGTTGATCCAAAAATCTTTTGAGAAAAAAAATTAATGTATTCAACGTATTTATAATTTCTAAATTCTATTTTTATTTCAAATAAAATGTCAATTGTTACAATTACAAGTAGAAAAAAATCTAATTTTACATACCTTACACAATTAACACAATCAGTGTGAGCATTATCAATTGCATGAATCAGTCGTCGACTCAATGGATCAAACATTAAAACACTCTTTTTTTCACAAGCTGCCAAAAGAAGCGATCTACAAAAAAAAGCGGAAATATATTTATTTCTTAAATTTGTTGTTTTAATTGAATAAGCAAAAAAACAATTTTGCCTTTGTCAGTAATAGGTTGAGTGAATTTCTAGTTCTTATGATAAGAAAAAAAAGGACCTTTAACAATTTTTTCGACAAGTAAAATAAAAAAGTTAGACAAAGGCCAAAAACTGAAAGACAAAATAGATCCAAATTTATTTACAAGGAAAATGTATATATACACAAAAATAAAATTCAATTAGAGTATATAGGAAAATGTATAAATTATGAAATCAAGTTCACTTTATAAATATGTATGAATGCAAAAAATGACATTCGAGATAAAGAAAGAACTAAAGTAGCGTGAGATATACACACGTTACTAATAAGATAAATATTATTGAAGAATTTGCAATTTTTTCATTAAATCTTATTTCGAAAGGTAAATCTAATAATACTGGTAATATTTCACAAACTTATATACATTTAAATGATTTCATTGGTCGAATAGATTTACCTTTCTTTCGTCCTTTATTAATGCAATGATGCAATATATGTGTATTTTTTTAAGGTTAGAAATAAGATTTGTTCTACACAATTACACTCGTGTTAATTATATATGCATAAAATAAAAGCAAGCAGATAATTTTCTATTAACGGAAAAAAGAAACTCTTACCCATCAGGAGAATATTCTAAATTAAAAACTCCGCCATGAATTGCACTGACTAAATTTTCATTGTGATCCCATGATGTGACTGGTTGTACTGATGAATACAATGTTTTGTGAAAACGATCATTGTGACCCAAAGGTTGACTGATTCCAAGTTCTCTTTGTCTTAACCACATACTATTTAAATGCAATTTTGTTTTTATTTTCGGCATTTTCACCACCACTGTTTTTTTTGTCTTTTTTAGTCAATCGAAATGTTTAATGACATGCAAAAAAAATTTAGACAGCTCCAAAAAAAAGTGATACAATGATTGATTGTCACTCAAGTATCTTTGTTCAAATTTTCACCAAATAAAGAAAAGTATTGAATAATTTTTGTTTTTTTAAACAATTATAAATTAAATCTTCATATCACAAGATTTTTTTTATTCTATCACTCTTCAGTCATTATATGCAGTTCAAGGTTTTCAGGTAAAGGTTAGGTCATGAATATGACAAAATTCCTTTTTAAACAAGTCATTTGCTGGAAATAGAAGTAAAATTAATTTACAACAATGGAAAATGATTTGTACGGTTCGAATTTAAAGATAAATTAAATGTAAATTTAACTGATAAATAGGTACCTCCTTTTAAAAACTACACAACATGTTTGACATTTATATCGAATGTGGCGATACATACATATATTTAATCGATTCTTGTGTCGTCACACCGTTTGGTCACCGATGGCAGGCCAATGGTCACAATTGGTTATCACGTGGTTATCTTTTTTATATGGCATTTAATATAAAGTAAAGTTCACAATAGGCAATTTCTATGTGTCACTTTTGAAAATATTTATAAACTTAACATTATTTTTAGTTCGTTTAAAGAAACGATAAAAAGAAAGTTTAATTTCCTCTGATCATGATAATCCCCATTAAAATTTACATATTTATTAAAAGATGAAAATTAAAAATAAAATATGTAAATAGTTGGAGGTGTGAGAGACACTTTAATGCGATGAAAACAAAAACAGAGCTACCCAACAGTGAGGCAACGGTCATCGGCCTCATTCATTTTTTGAGGTTGGTTTGGTTGTCTCTATGGTCTTTTCAATTGGGGTTGAGAAACCTGATAAATTGAAAGATGGCCGATGTTTTGTTTGTAAAGAAAAAAGATGGATAGGTTGTGCTGCGACCGTGACTATGTTTAGATAGTTTTTCGGATTAATTAAAGTGACAAAGTCCTGTTTTTAGTGCAGGACAAAATGAACGCTACGAGCCTATATGTTTCGACATGTCGGCTTGTTTTGCAAGCAGACGCCGAAGATCCAAATTCATGGACCGATTTGTACAGGCTAGTTCCTTATTTAAGGCAAAGCCTCAGCTGTACTGTTTGCTCGAATCTTTTAATTGAACCGCATACACCAACGGAAACGAACTGTCAACATCATGTTTGTCGTGGTTGTCGAGGCGGTCGTAAAAAACTCAAACCTTCTTGTGGCTGGTGTAAGGACTATGAAAAATATGTGGAAAATGTGCAACTTCGAATTCTCCTTCAATGTTATAAAAAGCTCTGCGAGTACCTGACAAGCACAAACATTTATCGCAATTTGATATTATCAGTGTCTTCCAACAATACTAATATTGGATCAGTGACAATGGGCGCAAGTAGTTTGATGGAATTAATTCAAGAAGGTGCGGGTTTTAAGGACGAATTTAAAAGTACAGCCGGTTTATCGAAATCTGCATATAGCATTTTACCTTGTGTTTACACTAGTACAACATCAACTCAAACGCAAGGAAGTGTCCTTCAATCTCCTGATGTTGTCTCGCAAAATATTTCAGGTATTTATTTTTATTATTAACTGTTTGTTTTCACTTGAAAAAAAGGTAAAAACCGTCAATTGTTTATATAAAACAATTGACTAACAATGTCAACAAAAAATGGTAGATCATTAGGAAATTAATAAAATTTTTCGCCCGAATTTCATTATTCTCATTGAATAATAAAATTCTTTAGAGCAATTCAACAACTTTCAATACAATTTTTAAAAAATTTCTCCAAAGAATATAATTATTTTTAAAATTTTTTAATTAAAATCTATTAATTTCAAGAATTTTAATATAAATTCAATTATTTTTAACAATTTTGGTAAAATCCTTTTAAAAAAGTCATTATTTTCAAAATTGTTATAAATAATAAAATCCTTAAAAGGAATTAAATTATTTTCAATACAATTTTAATTACATTTTCTCGAAAGAATTCAATTATTTGAAAAAATGTTGATAAAATTCTTGTAAAATTGTATTTTTAAAAAAATTGAATTCCAGCGAAAATTTTATTATTTATAAAAATAATTGAATTTTATTAAAAGTTTTATAAATAATTGAACTTCTGTGAAAAATTCAATTGAAAATTTAAATAATTGAATTTTTTCGGAGAATTTTTACAAGATTTTAAAAATAATTGAAATTCTGATAATAATTTTATTATTTATATAAAAATAATTGAATTTTGTTCACGAAGATTTTTATTATTTATAAATTGACTTTATGCCAAGAATTTTATTACAATTATTGAAAATAATTGTATTCTTCATAAAATTCAATTACTTTTAAAATTTTCAGTAAAAATTATTTTTTAAAAACTCCACTATTTTCAAGAAAAATGAAATGAATTCTTCAAAACAATTCAATTATTTTGAAAAATTTTAATAAAAAATTTGCCAAGAATTAAATTATTTTCAATACAATATTAATTACATTTTCTCGAATGAATTCAATTATTTGAAAAAATGTTGATAAAATTTAGGAAACAAAAGAGCAAACTGCCTACAGGTTACCGAAATACAACGATTATTAATATAGATTTTATATTTTTCTCTCAGAACCTTCAACAATTAGATCGGTATCGAATGGAGCTTCGATATATTCAGTAATGTATGCCGGTTCTGGAAATAAAATAACAATAAAACGAAAGGCCGCTGCCACTGAAGGAACTGATATGTCACAACATGAATTGGAATCGTCACAACAAAGTTCTGTTGCAGGATCAGTTAAATGTATTTCCTCTCAAATGCCATACGGATCTTCTTCACAGAGAAAATCTTCAAAAAGCAGCAAGGTACTTATTATTATAAACGATAAAAATTAGAAAATTAATCACAAATTAATGTAAAATCATTTTAAAAGGCGAAGTAAACAATATGGATGTTATGTAAGCAAATTTTTGCAGAATTCGGGTAGTTTTAAAAAGCCACGATCTGGTTCGACGCGAAGTAAAAGAAAAGGATGTCGCTGTGGTAATGCGACTGCAATTCCGGGTAAATTGACATGTTGCGGTCAGAGGTGTCCATGTTATGTGGAAAGTAAACCCTGCTCTGAATGCAGGTGTCGAGGTTGCAGAAATCCCCATACTGCTGATGGTCTCAAGGTACGTTTAGAAAACAATTTCCAAAAATGCAAAATGGGTAAAATTCTAATTTTACAACGAAAAACTACATTTTTTCTTTCTTTTTGAGAATTTGGACTACTTTAAATTCGCTAATAGTTAAAATAAAAAAAAATATTCATAAACATTTTAATAAAATTCTTCGAAACGATTCAGTTATTTTGAAAATAATTATTTCAATTATTTAGAGAAAATTTTTTCCAAGAATTCAATTATTTTCACAAATAATGAAATTCTTCTTCTTCTCAAAAGTGTCAGGGTGTCCGCTGGACCGAGAAAACCGGGAAATGACAGGGAATTTTTTTAACCGGGATTTTGGAAATTTTTTTTTAAAAACACTGATTATTTTGTGAGATAAAATAGAAACATTTATTTTAAGACACATTAATTATATTTCATTAAAAAGGATTGAATGATCTTCTATAGAATCGTTTTATTTTGTCAGGGAGTTTTATCAAAAGTACTATAAAAATATTCAATTTCTAGAATTTATATAAGAAAATTATGAATTTTGTTGTCCAACGACAAAAAAAGAAAATATTAAATTTAATTTTAAATTCTTTCTATTTCTAACAATAATTAAACAAAATATAATTTTAATTAAATTCGTCGAAAAAATTTGAAAGAGAAAAAATTTCACATTCTATAAAATAGTGGAAAATAAATCAATTTGAAAATTTTTTTTTGCAATAATATTATAACAAAACAAATTTGAATTAGTAAAAATTTGAACTAATTGGAACAAAAGTGATACGAAATTTATAAAAATAACTTTTTAAATAATAAATAAAGTAAATGAAAAATAAAAATAAATAAAATTTCTTTTCTTAGAAAATAAATTTTTAAAAAACCGTATTTTGCATTAATATCAATTAGTTTTTTTTACAATTATTATTCATAAGCAACTATTTCTATATCTTGGAATGTTAAATTAATATTACTAATATTAATACAAATTGAATTTTAAAAAGTTTCAAATTTAAGTTTTAGAAAAGTTGAATTGTAAAAGTTTTTAATTAAAAATTCTGAATAAGTTAGTTTTTTGAAACATTTTTATTCACATCTTTTTCAAATTAGTTATATTTTTAAATATGTAATATTTAATTGAAAAACGTTTCAAATTATTTAAAATTTCATAAAATTGTCTTTTAAACAAGACTATTTTAAAGGATTTGAAATTTGAATTATTTTCAATACAATTTTTATTAAATTCCTCGAAAAATTATTATTATTTTAAAGATTTTGAATAAAATTTATTCTTCGCAAGAATTTGATTATTTTCATTTCAATTTTTATAAAATTTTTTGAAAGAATCAAATTGTTTTGAAAATTTTTAATGCCCATCTTCGTAGAAATTCAATTATTTATAAGATTTTTAATAAAATTCGTTGCAGGAATTTAATTATTTTCATAAATAATAAAATTTTTCGCGGGATTTCAATTATTTTTAATGCAATTAAAAATGTATTCCTCGTAAAATGCAATTATTCTCCAAAAATTTATTAAAATTCTTCAAAAGAAATCAATTATTTTATCCATTATTTGCTTTTGTATTTAAATAATTTAATTCTCGTAAATTTGAATTTTTAAAATAGTCGATTTAAAAAAGAATTTCAGTAAAAATTTTAGAAAATATTTGAATATTTAAAATATTAAATAAAATTTTATTAAATAAAATATTTAAAAGCATTATGATAGGAATTAATAGACATTGTGAAATTTTAAAATGCTTTTACATTGAAATTATGAAAAATTTTAATTTCTGTGGAAAAATAAATAAGAATAAGTATTTAAATGTTTATTTAACAAAAATGATTCAAGTTTTGAATAATTGAAATAAAATAAATAAATTTAATTTAGAAATTATGAAAAAAATTAATCTTTTGAAAAATTGTAATTAGAATTTTTTGAAGACAGTTAAATTTTTTTTAAACTGAATTATATTTGTAATTAATTTTGACAAAAATTAAAATAAATTTTATATTTAAATTTTTTTTAAAAATTCAAATTTTATTTTTTATTTTCCATAATTATTTTGAAATATAATCGTATGTTTGAAGAATTCTAACTAAAAATTTGTAAAATAATTGAATTTAAAAAGAAATGGAGTTAAAGTTATTCCCAGAATAAGAAACAAAGTTAATATTTTTAACAGAAATCAGGAAAAAGTCAGGGAAATACAGAATCAAATGTTTGTGATTTTTGTGAATCGAATAAAACGAGTTTTTTTAGTCGTTAAATTTAATTTTTCAATAGCTACTTTTTTTCACTACTTCTTTTCAGTCTTAAAACTAATTTTTGTTATTTTTAAAAAACTAATTATCAATTGCGAAGCCTGATATCGTTTATAAGAAAAATTTGAAAAACAAAAAACTATCCCTAATTTTAAAAATTTCAAAGTAAGTTATTTGAAACCAAACCCTCAAATCCTCTAGAAATAAAAAATTTCAAATTGCCTCTACTTCTTTCGCTTACTTAGAAAATTTACTATTGAAACAAATTTCTTTTACATAGTTTTATATTATTTAATTTCAGATTCGTCCACACATACCGGAACTTCATAATTTACAACTGCAATTATCAACGCCATTAAGTTGTGATAATTTAAATTCTGATCCATTAGGACCAGTTGAACAATGTCTTTCTCCGCCTTCAGCAACTATTCAAGTTTTAAACGTTTATTCAACGCCTAGATTAGATATTGATAATGTACCGCAAAATTTACCAGCCGCTTTATTAGTTGGTGAAGATGCGATGGTAAGCACGGGAAGTGAAGCCGAAGACAGCGATATACAAATAGATGTGTGACAAAATCTAACAAATTATAGGCAATTACATTTTAAAGAACTTTTACAACAATAATTATGTACTTTCACGTGTAAATAGTTTGAATTAATTACGTCGATAATAGTCGCGCAAGGAATTTGATTTCGCTCGTCTCGATATGGTGAGTGAAATTTATTTTGATATTACAATAAAAATTGCATCAAGTTTGTTTTATTAACAACCCATTTTTATTTGTTAGATATTCATTTTTTAATTTGTATGTAAATTTTTCTTTACTATATTATCTGAGATAGTAAATATTTATTTTTTTTCAATTTTAATCACCATTTTTTTTTTTTATTTATTTTTTACACCAAATTTTTTTTTTTGAATTTATTTTTATTGTTAAAATTTATTAATTTCAATATTTATGTCTAATTCATAATTTTATTTATTGAATAAAAATCTTTTAACTACTTGACTTAAATTATGTCATCGGCAATCTTATTATTTTCGCATAATTAAAGTTAAAACTTATTCGTCTAATAGAATTGAAAAATTAATCATTGTTTAGGTAAATTTAATTTTTCCGGTAAACTATTTATGAAATATTTTCCTCTTACAACAGAAATTCTTAAGAATGAAAGAATAAATTGAATAGCATAAATTAAAATTGTATTCGTCAGTTGTTATTATTTTATTTAAAATATGTTAGTAAATAATTGTTATTATAATTATAATTTTTCCTGTAAATAAAATAATTCAAATTATAATTGTTTTTACCTTCACTTTTTGTTCAAAAGGGATAAAAAATTGATAAATTTTTAGTACATAATTTAATTTCAAAAAAAGAAAAATAAGGAATGTAAAATTTAATCGACGTGAATTAATGCACCAAGAAAAGAGGATAAAATAATACGTAATGTAAATTTTTTAAATAATTTAGGTCTACATATTTTGATCTCGTAAATACTTTTGTTTTCTCACAAAAGTATGAGATCGACTGTTTTACTATATGCTTAAAATATTTTAACGACATCAAATTTATATATAAATATATATATTTGTCTAATGTTTAGACAAAATAAAATTTGTAAATATTAGTAATTTTATCATTGTATAAACGTTAATTATACTTTATTTTCTATAGGATAGAAAAAGAAAATCGCTGTAAATTGGTGTGTAGCGATTCTGAGTGAATTTGTTTGACATATTTATAGGAAATTCTTTCATTTATTTTTAAGTTTTTTCTATTTTTTGTGAATTTTTTTTTATAATTTTAAAGAACGGATTCAAATAAAACTTTTAATGTACTTTTTATTGAAGGAAAATACCAAAAATATAATCTGAAAAAATTAATTATAATTAAATGTAAATAAAAATTATTTATTTGTGAACTGCAAATTATCAACGAGACATATTAGAAAAATGGGTTTAATTAAAAATTTTATTTTCAAATAGAGAAATATTATTTGTTTAATGTTGCTTATTAATTGGTTCAAAAATTGTTTAGTTAAAGAATTAAACACTAATTTCTAAATTGTGTGCAATAAATTATTATTTATGAAGAAAAAAAATATTAGAACAAAGGACTTTATTTATTAAATTAAAAATTTCTCATGTATAACTAATATGTCTTGTGGAAAGAAAATTAAAGTTTACTTATAATAAAAATTTGTTAAATCACGATAAATTTGTAATTGTAAAGTACATTATTATTGTGAGAACAAAATCTTCAGAATAAAAATATTTTACATACCAAATTGCTTCTTTGTTTCCTAACATTTAAAAAAACAATTTTTTTTAAAATTAATGTAGGTATTAAAAATAATTCAATTCTTGCGAAATAATTGAAAATAATTGAATACCTTTGAAGGTATTAATATAATTATAATTAATAATTTTATTAGAATTATTGATAGAAAATTTAATAAAAAATCATTTTTTTAAAACCAAAAAGAAAGAAGTTTATAAACAGAACCAATAAAAAAATTATATTATAAACATTTCTTTTGGAAAATTAATTAATTATCCATTAAGCATAGGAAGAAATAAAAAAACGTAAATTTATTTTTGTTATTTAAGTCATTTTTGACTTTTTTTTATTATCATCATCATCATTTTATCATCATCATCATCACCATTATCGATTTTACCATTGAAAGTTGATCCAAAAGAGAAGAAATATTCTCAACTTTCTAATGCCTTTCAACAGTGAAATCGATAATAAAAATTAAATTGTTTAGTCACAATTGTGCACTCGCATTAAATTAAGCCTTTCGACTTTTTTTTTATTTTCATCATCATCATCACCACAATTATCGATTTTATCACTGAATATTGATAAGCTAACATTTAAAACTTAATTTTGTTTAACAATAAAATCGATAATTGAAATTAAATTATTATTACTCGGTACACAATTGTACAAACATTAAATTAAGTTTTTTCAGACTTTTTATTTTCATTCTCATCGATTTTACCATTGAAAGTTAATTGTAAAGAAAGAATTAAATTATACTCAAACTTTAAATTACTTTCAACGAATAAAATCGATAATAGAAATTAAATTATTTGGTCACAATATTGTACAAACAATTTTTTATTAGCCTTTTTAGACTTTTTTATTATTATCATCATCATCGTTTCATCGTCACCATTATCAATTTCATAATTGAAAGTTGACAGAAAAAGAAATGCCTTTCAATAATGAAATCGATAATAAATATTAAGTTATCGTTTGTTGACAATATTGCGCGAACCAAATAATATTTACTTAGATTATTTATTAAAGTCTTTTATTTAAAGACTTTTTTTTTTATTTTCATCATCATCATTTTATCATCATCATCATCATCGCCATTATCGATTGCACCATTGAAAGTTGATCCAAAAGCGAAGAAAATAATTCTTAACTTTTTAATGCCTTTCAACAGTGAAATCGATAATAAAAATTAAATGGTTTACTTACAATTGTGCAAACTATACAAACACTAGTGATATTAAGTCTTTTTAGAATTCTTTTTTCTTAATATAACGTCGTGAAACATTATTTTTTATCAATTTTACCATTGAAAGTTCATGTCAAATATGTAAATTATTCTATAATTTGGATGTCTCCTTCAAACGGGTAAAATGGATAAATAGAAATTGATATTTGATCACAATTGTGCAAACCGTACAAATTATCATTTACAATAAAAACCCTCCAGACGGCAAATATGTTTTTTTAAAACTTTTTTTGTCAATTTAACTCGTCGATATAAATTTTAGCAGTCTTTTAAAAGTATAAAAAAAATTAGGTGATTACAATTTTATTGTACGTATAGAGAATATTTTCTTTTATAATTGCACATTTAATTATTTTTCTCTTAATTGTTATTTGATATAAGTTTTAATTACTTTCCATTAAAAAATTGAGGGTTTTTCTCGTAAACATTATACAAATATTTAGTCTAAAAATTGCAAAATATAAGTGAATATAGTGAAATTTTATAAAAACACATATTTGTGTGATATTTTTTTTTTATATTTCAAAAACAAATTTTGAAATTTTTTTTCTTGAAGAGCTTTTTTTATCACCCAGTACTTTCTTTTGTTTTCAAGTAAAGGTAATTTTGTTTTATAAAGTCCGAATTTTTAGTTATTTACAAAATTGACAAAATATACATTTTATTTTGTCAAATTTGTAATATTTTTTTTTGTGTTCTTTTTTAAGTTTCTTAGAAACTTTTTTTCTTTTTAAAGTTTTTGTCTTTTGTTTCGGACCTTATTTGAATATTAATACCATTGCTTTTGTAGAAAAACGTATATATGATTAAAAAAATAGAGATGGAAGATTACAAATGACGTTTTTTGAATTTTAAATTACCGTTGATCAAAATGGTTTATATGATTTTGGATAGCGTGATGGTAAACTTGCACTAACGTGATTTGCATAATGGGTCCATCCCAATTTATGAGCAACAACTATGCACCTTTCGTCAATTTCTTTCACTGCTTTCTCTTCTAAAAATCTTGTCAATAATTTCAAATAACGGCCGTACTGTTTGTTGAGATGCGCGTGCCACAGATTGACAGAAATGGCCTGTAATTAAAATTAGTCAATTTATTAATTATCGTTTTATTCCGAATGTATTTTAGCAGTTTCAAGTTGGTCCAAATTTTTACTAATTCAGATTTAGAAAAAAAGTTTTGTGATACTATTTTTGAAAGAAATATTTAGAAATTACTTTATTTTCCATAATTTTGCCCTATTAATAATTGTATTGAAAATAAATGAATTCTTGTGAAGAATATTATTCAAATTTTTGAAAATAATTGAACTGTTTCGAGGCCTTTATTTATTATATAAGAGAATAATTTAATTCTTTTGAAGAATTTTATTAAAATTGTAATAAAATAATGAAATTCCTAAAAAGAATTTTATTATTTATGAAAATAATTGAAGAATTGTAAAGATTTTTATTTATAAAAGTAATAATTGAATTCTTAGGAATAATTTTACTATAATTACAAAAATAATGAATTTCTTGCATAGACTTTTATTAAAATTTTTGAAAATAAATGAATTTCTACTAAGAATTTGATAAAAACTTTTTTAAATAATTAAATTCTTGGTTTTATTATTTGTTAAAATAATTGAGTTCTTCAGAAGAATTTTATTAAAATTGTATTGTAAATAATTGGTTTCGAAGAATTTTGTTGAAAATTTTTGTAAATTATTGATTTTCTGTGAAGAATGGCATCGAAATTTGTATTTATTTTATATGAAAAAAATTGAGGTATTTTGAAAAATTTAATTTTAATTTTAAAACAATTAAATTATTTCTAGAAATTTAATTAAAATTGTATTGAAGATAATTGAATTATTTCAAAGAATTCTTTTAAAACTTTTGAAAATAATTGGATTTAGGCGAAGAATTGTATATTTGAATTCTTTGAAAGAATTTTATTAAAATTTTTAATAATAATTCAATTCCTACGTAGAATTTTGATTATTTATGAAAATAATTGAATTTTTTTAGAAGAATTTTATTATTTACGAAATTATTTGAATTTCTGCGATGAATTTTATTAATTACAATAATAACTAAATTCCTGTATAATTTTTTTTCTCAATTTTTGATAAGAATTGAATTGTTTTTATAAATTTGATAAAATAATTGAATTTATGAGAAGAGTTTCATTAAAATTTGTTAAAAATAGTTGATTTCTTTTGAGAAATTTTATTAAAAATTGTATTTAAAATAATCGATTTTCTTTAAACTTTTATTATTTATTAAGATAATTGAATTCTTGAGACGAATTTTATTTAAATCGTATTGAAAATAATTGGTTTCGAAGAATTTTGTCAAAAATTTTTAAAAATATAGAATAATAATAATTAATCAATTGATAAGTGAATTAAAATTTTTTTTTTTAGTTTAAAATGTAAAAAAATAATTTTATAAATTGGACAAATATAAAATGAATTGATAGTACTTGAAAGTCAAAATAAATTGTAAATAGAAAATAAATAAAAAATTTTAATTGTGATTAAAAATGGTTGATAATAAATTTTTCGTTAGTTTAAATGACTTACTTTGATATCATTTGGTTCGGAGAACTTTTGAACCTCCTTCCAAACATCCCAGAAGTTGTCTAGCAATTCCTTGTTGGGTCCTTCGCCCTCGACTTTTGTTCTACCGACATAAAGTCGCGATAAAGCACAGCCTTTTTTCACTAAAGCTTCAATTAAACAATTCTTTTGCTTCTCCATTGTTGATTTTGTTTTTGCAGCATCGGGTCCTTGATCAGTCTTTGAGCCAAAATATGCCAAAATTTTATTTTGATCAACGGTTCCAATTACTTTGTCAGCAACGCCTAACATTTGATTTGCATAATTAAGCGATGTGTCTGGTAAATCATCGTGTGGTACGTGACGTCTCGCCTCTGTTAAATCCAACGATGACAACATCGAAGTGTAAACTGGCAAATGATCCGGAAAATCTGACTTTAATTCCACGTATAATTTGTGAGTATGTTCTCCAGGTTCTGTTGAAAGAAAATACGAAAATATTTTAATTTTGTATTCCAAAAGAGAAAGTAACTAGAAATTTTAAAACAAAGGAATGGAAAAAAATAGAAAAAAAACATAAAAAAATAGAACCTTTCTATTTATGAAAATAACACTAGAAATTAGTCACTATTTGTAAAATTACATATTGTTTATTTTCGTGGAGTAAATCGATTCTTTTGATAATTAGTAATTCTACATTCTAATTAAGAATAGTAAAAATAGTCGTGCAAGATTTCAGGGTTTCCACATTCAGGTACTGGTAATCAACCACATGGGGAGAAATTACAAAAAAATTGTAACAAACCGACAATGGGACGTCCACTAGGATCCTCATACGGATAAGCCAATTTACTCTTAGATGGTACTATTAAAGTTGAAGAAATTCCCAGAAATAAATTAAAATTTATTCTACCATAAGCTAATGCTCATTATTTGCTAACAAAATAAATTTTCGATCTTTTTTTTTAAAGTAAATTTAATAAAAGTAAAAGACTCACCCAATTTTGAAAGCCAATTACACTTAAGATCTCTTAATGCCTCATTGTATTCGTCCCATTTGGATTGATCTTTATCTGATTTTCCATTGGAATTGGATTTTTTCGGTGGCTCACACAAAACGTACTTGAAAGAGTGACAATCGACTTTCTTTCCAATTTCATCCTTGCAAAATGTTATTGTTCCTTGTAGATATGAACCCAATGTTGCGCCTTTGAAAAGCCTGTAAAAAAGGGGGAAAAATGCAAATTTTAGATCTTTTTTTTAACTCAAATCTTTTCTAAGTTAACAAGACTCGAATCAGTGAAAGTATTTAAAAATACGAACTTTACGAACCAAAAATGAAAAATTACGGACCAATTACTGACAAAAATATAACCAGTCCGAGTCAAATAAGAGAACATTTTACTTAAAACTATAAATTAAATTTTTTCATAACTATAAACCATAAAGATATCAATATCAATATCTTCATGTTTAATAATAATTAATTTACGGGCCTAGTTCGAGCCCTGAGTCAATTATAATTCATAACGTTTAAAAAAAAAATTCTAGAATTTAATATTACAATATTATTTATGCACAACTTACTTGCTTTCGTTGCTCAAGGGGGCGATATAAAATGGCATTGTATGACCAGGTGGAATTGATGCCGATACCATTTTTTTACCTCCAACAAGCGCTTGCGATTGACTAGCATAAACATCTAGATTCACTTGTGTACCAAGTTTTTGAGTCAATAACATTGGCATTTCCGTTAGTCTGTCAAGTAATTCTCGCTTTTCGTGTCGAACGTGCATTTTTAGTGTATAGTCACCTTTCTCTATTTTTTGAACTGTGTACTAGAAAAAAAATAAGCTCTTGTTTATTACTTATAATAATTTACACTTTGCAATACTAATTTATACATTATAATAATTATAATTAATTAATATAAATAATTATAATTAAATAATAATTATATCGCACTTACTTTGCAAGGATACGCATCTCCACAACAAATAAGCTGTTTATTGCAATCGTAAATCATCCACAATTGACTTTCGTATTCATTCTCATAAAGTAGCTCACTAAATAATGCAGCGTTCGGAGTTATTTCAGTTGCTTTCGCTATGTGGAATGTGTAAGTTAGTTGTAGTTCATAAATTTGTCGAGCAGGTGGTATAACGTCACGTTTCTTTAATGGGAGAATTTTCGAATCCGTCGGCCTGGAAATTTGTTTTTTATTTAAAAAAAAACGAATTACTATAAATTACGGAACACTATTCGTATTTTAAATTTGTAATTGACAATTTGTATTTTTCTAACTAAATAAATTGAAGATTTAAATTACATACCTCAAGACTTGTACTGACGACTTTAGAGAACAACTTGGCACAACATCTTCATTTCTCAACGAGCTTCGTAATTCAATTCTGTGATAACCGTCTCCGGGTTGCATTGTGAAACCACCGCCTATCATACGAAGTCCATGGAATTCTATCGAGTAATCGATAAAAATGTCTCCCAAATTCGCCCAATATTTTGCCACAGCTACTTCCAAAATAATTCCACCCTTGAAAGGAAACATTTCGATAAGAAATTTTTTGAAAAAAAAGTAATTAGTAATTAATTTATGATAATATTACTTCTACTGCGAATCCTTGAACATTTTCTGCCTGCGATGAAACGTTAATCATTTTATTGACTTCGAGATTTTTACAAGACAAACGGGGCTTCAGCTGAACAGTGTGAGTCACAAATCGTCCATTCTTGTCTTTTTCGGTGCCTTTCAATTTTAGAACTATAAAAAATGTCAAATTAAAAATTGAAAAAATCTTTATCGTCTTTTTTAGATTCACATCAAATGGGAAGGTTTATTTTATTTAAAAGGTTAATATTTACCTGCCCAAGTTGAATCATCAGGTACGACAATAAAGTGTCTAATAATGGTATTTGGTTTGAATAAAACATTCGTGTAATTCAAATCCGGAAGAGTGGCAGCTTTCGAGAGAACAGTGGGTTGAATAAGTGTAACCGGAATGCGGAATACGGGTCCTTTATCGACATTAGTAACATCATAAGCTCGAATACTGCAAAGAAAATTTATATTCAATACAAAAACACTAAAAATTGAATATTAAAACGAATTCAACCGAAAAAATTGAATACCGAATAATAAATATTTCATTCTTAAACATTAAATTGAATACTAAATATTAAGGTATTCAATAATTATTTTTCTTCCAATAAATAATTTTATAATAAATTATTCTAATTTGTAATATTCATTTTTAATATTATTAATATTAGATTAACAAATATTTCTTAAATACCTGGTTGAATGAACACCCTCTGGCAAATTTGTACCGTCAACTCTAATGGCGAATGCTCGAGGCATATACATAAGATCGAAATGTGATGGAAAATGTACCCACGAAGCGTCCGAAACTAACGACAACTTTAAGTTGAAATTAATTTTACGAGAAGGATCAATATTCTCATTATCCATGAAAATTGGCTCAACAACAACGGCATAATCTTTCGCTCGATCTACAACGCCAGATCTTAAGAAAATTCCTTTTGCATTATTAACGCCACAGGCAATCGAAAATCTGACATCTCTCTCCGCAGACTGTGAAAATGAGACCAAATTTTCAAAGGCACGCTCCACCTGAAGTAAACCCGAACCCTGAGCAAATGGATCGAGATTGTCAACAAACATTGCTGTATTTTCAAGAGCTCGCTTAATGCTGTATGGAGAAAAGGGATATTTCTTAGCTAGAAGTCCTGAAATGAGAACGGCTGAAAAAAAGTAGAAGGAAAATTACTATTTTATTCTGAATAGAACGTTTAGATATTTTTCTAATTAAAATCCAAACAGGCTTCGCACTCGTTAATTGATTTAACAAAAGTAGCAAAAAAGCAGCTTTTTTATAATAAATAAATAATTTTTTAAAAGAAATATTTAAATATTCAACTTCTGCAACAATTAAAATTTTAAATAATTTCAATTTTAAAAACCTTTCGAAATTTAATTATGTACATATTTCTAAAAAGTTCCTACTATAACGCTTCAAATATTCAATTTTCTCCTCAAAAATATTAACTGAAATTATTTTTCAAATCAATTCTTATCAGAATTCAACTAAAAGAATTAAATTATTTATAAATAAAAAAATAAATAATTGATTATTTCTGAAAAAATTAAAAGCCAACAATAATTCACTTGTTACTAATGAATTAATTATGTATTATTTATTATTTTCAAAAATGTTAATAAAATTATTTCTAACAATTCAGTTATTTTCATAAATAATAAAATTCTTCCCAGGAATTTAATTATTTTCAATACAATTTTAATAAAATTTCTTTAAAAAATTCAATTATTTTCAAAACATTTTGAAAAAAATCCTTCGAACGAATTCAATTAATTTCAATGAAATTTTTTTTAAAATTTCTCACAGGAATTCAACTATTTTTAATGAATTTTAATGAAATTCTTCTCATAAATCCAATTGAAAACATTTAAAGAGAAAAATTGGCAAAAAAATTAGGAAACAGAGAAGTGAACAAAAACAAGTACCTTTAAACTGCTAACAGACATTTGGAGTACAATGATTATGAAAAATAAAATAATTTCTAAATTTTTCTTGATTGTAATTTTGATCAATTGTAGTTTTTTTATCAATACTTAAAGTTTTAATAGTTTAAAATTTGTATCGAGAAAACTTAGAATCGACTGAAGCTCAATTACAAAACTTTAGATTAATAAAATAAAATTTAGTAACAAAAATTTAATACATTATCGAAACGACGTGAATTCGTGATTTCTGAAGTTATCATTATTTTGAAGAAAATTAAATATTATTAATTTTACTATTTTAACTATTAGTGAATTTAAAGTCGTGCAAATTCTCAAAAAAAGCTTTTCGTAGCACAAAACTAAAAAAAAATATCAAAATAGAAGCAAATCATAAAAAAAGTAGTAAACAGTAGGTTTTAGTAGAAGAATGCGAAACCTGTTTAATATTTAATGTAATTAAAATTCAATACTTAATGGAATTAAAATTACAATGAAACATGAATTTTAATATTAATGAAATTAATTTTTTTTCTAAATTCGATTTTAGATAATAAATAATATTTACCAATTGCACCGGTTACATGAGGACTAGCCATACTAGTGCCATTAAGAAGTTGACTTTTTCGTAGTGTATAATTTGGCACACTGGTAATTGCTCCTCCTGGCGCACATACTGTAATTCCGAAACCACCGTCCATCGTTGGTCCTCGGGACGACCACGTGAATGGCATGCCTGGCATTTTTTCACGTAGGGAATATTCAGCAAGCATCATATCAGGCGAAACGTAGGCGCCAACACTAATAATACTGCTTGTGCATATATCGGGTGGAGTGGCTGAGAAAAAGAATCGATAAACGTCAATTTCTTTCCCTAATATCTCCGTAAAATAATTGAAATTCTCTTTCGAATAAAAATCAATCATTATTTTAAAAATCAACTAAATTAAAACTATATTCGACAAATTTGTCCAAAATTTAAAAAACAGTCTAGACTTTTTGTAATTTTATCACCTTCTTGCGAATTTTAGATTTAAAAAAGAATTTAATATATTTTCTTTTTAATTTCAATGGGAAAATATCCCAGGATAATAATTGAAATTATTAAGATGACTTGATGATACTCACTAACTGTGCATAGAGCTGGTCCTAAATTTCCAGCAGATGAAACCCACGTTACTCCATATTTATCAATAACTTCATTCATTAATTCTCCAATTCTACCGGAATTACACCAATTTGTATGCTCGCCATAACTCATATTGATAACGTGCACTTTTTCCTTATAACTCATTACTTTTATCATTGCTCGCACAATACCAGTTCCAGTTTCCATTGTGCCAATTCTTCCATCTCCTATTGTTAGTGAAATTATCTGAGCACCCGGAGCAACGCCATTCAATTCACCATGATCAGGAAAATTGGCAGCCGCTATTGATGCAACGTGTGTACCATGTCCGGCTGTTAAAATAAAACGTGTTTAATATTAATTCTTTAAATAAAAATAAAAAATAAAGCGACATTCTTTAGCTGAAAAAGAAAATTAAACTTTATATCGCGAAAAAAAATTAAACTTTCTTTCGCAAAAAAAAATAAAAATAATAAGCAAAGTAATAAACAATTATTAAATAGAGAAAAAATGATTATTTACTGCAATAGCAACTTACAGCATACATTAACTATTTCTAAAGTGTTTCCGTCGTCGTGAACGTTGATCGAAACATTCAATTGATCTTCCTGTGTTAGTGGTTTATATTCATGTGTACGCGAATATTCGCCAAGAAAAACTCCTTTCTCCAAATCGCCTTCTTCGGAAGTATCAATGCATGCCCTGAAAAAGGAAAATGAGATAAGATATTTTATTATTTATTTTTTTGAGAAAAAAAAAAATTTAAATACATACAGGATTACAACAAAAATTTTATTTTATTTTTCCCTGTTTTCTAAACAAAATTGTGCCTTTTTCACTGACCCTAAAGAATATTTTGATTCATTTTAAAAATGTTCTTAATACCTTTATTTAATATTCTTTAATTGTAAAATTATTCAGAAACAGTTTTATTTAAAATAAATATTTATTCATTATTATTATTATTTCATAGGAATTAAAACTTTCAAATATTTCAAATTCAAAACTCCTTAAATTCAATAACATAATATAAGAATATATTGTTACTGTAACTTCTTCAAAATTATTTTCATAATTTCCATTCAATTATTAATTTCTAGAATTTTAAACTAAAACTCTTCTTTAAATCAATTATTTATTTTTAATAATTTTTGACAAAGTTCTTTAAGAATTTCCTAATCCATTTGTTTAGAATTAAATTTTTTTAAAAACATTTTAACTAAAATTCTTCTAGAAATCCATTAACTTTAATAATTAATTAAATATTAAAAAAATTTACTAATTTAAATAGAATTTTAATTATCGAAATTTTTCAAAAAAAAATTAAGATCCTTAAAATTTCTAAATAAATTCATTCAAAATTCAAATTTTTTAAAAATAAAAATAATAGATTGTTTGCTTCAAAATTTATTAAAATTTTTAAGAGTAATTGAATTCTGATATTTTATTAAAATTATATTGAATTCTTGCAAAGTATTTAAAATAATTGAAATTCTGACAAGAAATTTATAAAAATATTTTAAGAATAATTGAATTCTTTTGAGAAATTTTAGTGAAAAAAATTGAATTCATGCGGAAAATTCAAAATAATTTCAATTCTGCAAGTAAATTTTTAAAAATAATTGCATTCTTGCAAAGAATTTAAAATAATTGAAATTCTGACAAGAAATTTATTAAAAAAAATTTAAGAATAATTGAATTTTTTCGAGAAATTGTATTAAATATAATTGAATTCTTGTAAAGAATTCAAAATAATTTAAATTTTGCAAGTAAATGTATCAAACACTTTAACAATAATTTGAATTATTTTGAGAAATTATATCGGAAATAATTGAACTCATGCGAAAAATTAAAAATAATTGAAATTCTGCAAAGAAATTTATCAACGTTTTTAATAGTTGAATTTAGTTATTTTATTAAAATTCTAATGAGAATAATTTAATTCATGCAAAGAATTTTAAAATAATTGAAATTTTGATAAGAAATATACATAAAACAAGTTGTTCATTTCATGATCATTAAGCTTCCTCAATATAATATATACCAATTGTTTAATTTTTCATTTTAGAATAATTATTTTAAAGTGTTAAGATAAATTGTCAAAAAATACAAAATTTCAATTTTTTGTGAAAATTTAAAATATTTATTAATTCTATAAATTTTGATAAAATATATACTTTATATACATGAATCGATTCGTTTTTATGTCAGGAATGCAATTTTGACAAGAATTAATAAAAATTTTAATATAGAAAAAAGTTATTTCAAAAAATCCAAAAATTAATTTTTTCAAAAATTAAAAAATTGTTGAAAAAAATTTTTTTTTTAGATATTTTTGAAAATCCTTCTGTCTGATTTTTGGTATTCATGATCGTAATACACCTACAAAATTTTATCAAAATCCATCAAGACGTGTAAGAGAAAATTTGTCCACAAGAATCGGTGACATACACACACACACACACACATACATACACACATACATCCGGACATTTGTTCCTCTCGACGAATTATATATACTACACTTGAAAATTTGTAAAAATAATTGATTCTAAAAAATTCGGAAATCGACATCACTATAAGGCTTCCTTTATGAGGAAGCAAAAAATTTTAAGAATCAATAATTGAATTCCTTCGATACATTTTATTGAAAATAATTGTAATTCTGCTAAGAAATTTATCAAAAATTTTTTTAATTATTTATTTCGAGAAATTTTATTGACAATAATTAAATTCATGGTTAGTTGCATGAATTTAAATATTTATAATAATAATTCTAATTAAATTCATTCAAAATTCAAATTTTCTAAATTAATTATTAAATAATTTATATCTATAATTTATAAGTAGGATTAATTTTATGATAGTTCTTAAAGATTTAAATTATTTAAAATAAATTAATGTCAGAAATTGAAGGTTTTTTTTTTGAGAATTAGTGTTTATTTCATAAATTATGAGACAAATAAAAAAAATTCCAAAATTAAAAAATTTTCTATTAAATTCTAAAAATTTATTTTTTTCTAGTACTTTTAATAAAATTTCCTGACCAATTCTACTTTCCCTGACTTTTTCTGAATTCCCTGACCTTTGGCAACTCTGGACTTACCTCCACATTTCTCCATCGTGAAACAGTACGCAATCATAAGTTGGTCCAACATCGACGTATTTTTTTTCTGCATTTGTTAATACTTCGACTCTAGCTTCAAGTTCCTCTTTTTCTAATTTTTCATCCCAAGTGGTCAATTGTCGATGTTTTGCATCAAATACCTAGCAAAAAAGTGAACAAAATTTTCGTAAACTTTTTGGTATTTTTTTTTGTTTTTGATTTTCAAAATAGACTTGAATTTTTAATTTCTAATTAAAAATTGTGAGTCTGCGGTTTAAAAATTTCTCTGCAATTGAGAACATTGGTTTGAAAAATGTGAATTGCATTCGAGATATTTGTGTTAACTGCATGGAATTTTTAGGACAGTTTAACTTGTGTCTGTGTGTACAAATTGTATTGGAAAAAAAAGTTCTCATTGGCACATTACATAATAGAGTCAATGTCTTCGTTCAATCAAACTGCCAACTATAAAGATAGAATTCGTCACAGCTATCGGATTCTGTTGTGAAATAGTTGTCCCAATTTATTTTCTATGTAGTAACTAAGTACAAAAGCTCAACAACTATCTTTGGACCACATGAACTAAAATTCTAATTGTTATGCAGTGTTTACGTTTTAATTTTTTTTTTTTATTAAAATCAAACCAAAAAATGCAAAATCAAATTTCTCTCCTATTTTAATTAAACCAAGAAGTGTAAAATACAACTTACAAATATTTTTCCCGAAACTGTAAAACTAAAATTCTGATTACCATAAATAATGATTTAGAGATTCTGTAAATTATTCTTTTTTTGTAAATAATTGCAAATAATTTATAAATAAATTTTATTGCTTTGATTTGATTAATAAATGAATGAATCTATGAAAAGTCTACGATCTTGTTTTCTAAATTCGAGACACTCACTTGTAGTTGCCGGGTAGCTTCTGCTAGCGCTGTTTTGTGCCCATCATCCCACAGACGTTTCTTCCGAGTAGCTTCGATTCTTTCCCGTAATTTTGTTGGATAAAGTGAATATGCATTTTTTACTCCTACATAATAATTTCCAGTCGGATTTCTCCAGGAAGTTGGAATCTGTTAATTTAAAAATATTTTATGTAAATCAATTCTGATAATTAAAAATTAGAATTCAAAATTAAAATTTTAACATAAGTGAACAAAATTTAGAATCGCACTTAAAAGAAAATTAAATTCCCATATAAATATTAAATGAATAAAGAACAAATTTTCAAAAGCTGATAAATCTATTTTTAAATGAATTTCACAAATCGATCTGTCTCTGTTAAAGTAAAAAGATATTAACAAAAGAATGATCAATTAAAAAACTTTTCGACATAATTTTCATTAAAAAAGAAAATTTCCGAAATCTATAAATTACTTAATTATGATAAAATTTAATTGAAAACAAAACAACTAATATATCGCAAAGTTAAAATCGTTACCGACGAAAAAATCATTTAAAATCATTTAAATGTCAAATATACAATTCGTTATGGAAATAAATTATTATGTTCTATCTTTAAATTAATTGTAATAATTAGATGAGAAATGTTTTAATTTCTCGAAATAAAAAAATACGGATTTATCCAGTTTTTGAAAACTTGCTCCATAAATTATATTTCTGATTGAAATGAATAAAAACAAAAAAAATAGAGTATCATAAAGTAAAATGACTCAGCGTTTAAATAAAAAAATCTAAAAAAAAAATATAATTCTTCAAAGTAAGTTACAGTTTGTAAAGATTAAAACTGAAAAATATATCGAATTTCGCATCCTCCTATAAAATAATCAGCTTATTTACTTTTAAATCTCGGCCAGTGAGACCTGCAATGGATCCGTCTGTTGCTTGTACGATTGTGCTTGTGTCAACATCTCCAGCTCCACTACAGTCAAATCTCTCGATTACTTTTGGTTTTCCATCAGACGTTACCTGTAAATAATCACGAGTTAATTAAACCGAAACACTATAAATTGTTATATTTCATTTCAGAAACAATTTTCCCTAGAAAATAAATTTTTTTCTGACCACGAAAGAATCTAAAAAAAAGTTCTTCTAAAATTTACTTTGAATGAATCATGACTTTTTGACAATCAAGACAAAGGAATAAAAGCAAACACAAAAGCAATAGTTTAAAACATTTTTTAAAATTTAAACAAAAACTCATTCAAGTTGCACAAGAAAAATAAATAAAACTAATTGAAAAACTCAAAATTATAGAGAAATTTGATAATGTAAATAGTATTCCTATTAAAGGGAGATTAAAAATGACGTTAGTGAAATATATTCAAAAGCCGTATAGGTAAAAAAAAAATGTCCTTACCTGCAAACCGGGTGCTCCAGGATCAACTCCAGAGTCGAAAATCGCGATAATAACACCTCGGCCATCATATTGAGGATATTTGGTGATGAACTGAGTAACTCCTGTTTCTTTTTTTGGCAAAAGACCCCAAACAGGAAAATTACAATCAACGACGTCTGCCATATTTCAAATGCTACTCAATAGCACTGGCCACCGGGGATTGAAAAAAAGCCTCTCGGTTTCTCTTTTGTAAAAAGAAACGCTTTATATATAATAAAAAATTCACTTGCGCATGCGTAAGTCATTTACAAATATGTTTAAAGGTGCATTCAAATGTAGATTGTAGCAGGGATGGGTAGCTATTGAGTTATAAGCAACGCCTCTGATTGGCTAGCAATATTATCCGGATATACAGCCGTCCAATGAGAACACTGGAGGTAATGAAAACTTTTCCTTTTATTTTAAAAATCTGTTGGTAGCACTGATTTCACAAAAGTTAAAAACCTTAAAAACTTAAAAGTTAAAAATGACAGAACTATTTAAAAAGCAGAATGTTTTTTATGTTATTAATAATTGAATTTTGGTATTTAAATGCTTAGAAACAATCGAAAAAACTGTAAGTACTTAATAATTTAGTATTCTGTTAAACTATTTCTATAATTGGAAATTTACAAACCTACAAAGTGATATTAATTTTGCATAAATAGTACAAAAACTTGTTTGTAAATATTGCTTTTAAACTTGTTCATTCCTTAATTCAATACTATAAAAAACTTTATTCTTTAAATCTTCTATTTGTATAAAGTAGAAGTAAATAAAATAAATTGTTAATTAATTGAAATATTAATAATTAAAAATTTTCTTTGTGAATTTGACAAAACAAAATTATTTTCAATTTGTAAACAAATACATAACCTCTTTTTTCAAACGTAAATTTGATAAGTTTTTTTACCTAAATTTGATCAGAGTTGCCACAAAAAATTAATTTTTGTTTTTCCCTGATTTCCAGACAAAATTTTGACTTATTCCCTGACCCTAAAAAATATTCTGATTCACTCTAAAAACGATTACAAGTAATAAAATTTTTTACATGAATTCAATTCCATTTCACAAATAATAAAATTCTTTGCTGAAATTCAAATATTTTCAAAATCTACTATTTTAATAAAATTTCTCAAAAGAATTCAATTATTTAAAAAAAAATGTAATCAAATTTTTCCCAAGAATTCAATTCTTTTCATAAATAATAACATTCTTTACAGGATTTCAATTATTTAAAAAAAAATTAATAAAATTTCGCTGCAGAAATTTAATTATTTACATAAATAATAAAATTCTTTCCAGGATTTCAATTATTTAAAAAAAAAATTAATAAAATTTCGCTGCAGAAATTTAATTATTTTCAGAAAGAATAAAATTCTTCACAGGATTTCAATTATTTTTAATACAATTTTAAGTAAATTCTTCGAAAAATGTTATTATTTTCAAAAAGTTTATTAAAATTCTTCGAAATAATTCAACTATCAATTATTTTAAATACACTAAAAGACTTTTTGTTTTTTTTCAAATCTATTTGTTAACAATTAAATTTTACGAAATTTCGATTATTCGGAAATTCTTCAATTAAATATTTAGAAAATAAAAGCTTGAAATAATTTAAACAAAAAAAAATTCAGTTAAACTTTTTCAAAAAAATTAATTCAACAAATTTGTCACTTAAAAGTATGAAAAATTCAAATTTTCAAAGATTCTAATTTGAAACCTTTTCAAAATTCAATTATTTCTAAAAATTAGAAAAAAATTAGAAAATTCTACAAGAATTCAATTATTTAAATACAAAAATTAATAATTTATTGAATAAACGAATGTTTCTCAAAATTGAATTCTCATACAGAATTTTATCAACAAAGTTTTAAATAATTAAATTCTTTCGACGAATTATAATAAAATTTTCAAGAATAATTATATTTTTTAAGGAATTCGATTAAAATTGTTTTAAAAATAATTATAATTCTATGATGAGTTTTATTATTCATGAAAATAATTGAATTCCTAAAAAGAATTTTATTATTTACGAAAATAATTGAATTATTGCGAAGAAATTTATAAAAAAAAATTTGTAAATTGTTGAATTTCTAAGAACTTTTCATTATTTATGAAAATAATTTAATGTTTGCTTAAAATTTTATTAACATTTGTTTTAAATAATTGAATTCTTTTGAAAATTTTTCTTAAAATAGTAAATATTGAAAATAATAGAAGTTTGCAAAAAATTTATTAAAATTTTTGAAAATAATTGAATTTTGAAGAAGAATTTTATTATTTTTAAAGATAATTGAAATTTTGACGAGAATTTTTTTTCACATTTTTTAACATAATTGAATTTCTGAGAAGAATTTTATTATTTTTGAAAATAATTGAATTTCTGCAATCATTTGTAACTTCTCCAAAATTCAATTTTTTCCAGTACTTTAATAAAAAAATCCCTGACTTTTTCTTAAATTCCCTGACCTGTGGCAATACTGTTGAAAAATGTTTCCAAAGATAAAACTTGAATTATTCGGTGTATGAAAAATGTTTACAAAGAAAAAACTTGAATTATTCGGTGTATGAAAAATGTTTTATTGAAAAATGTTTTCCACGCTACAACGTCAGAGTATCACTGTCTTTAACAGTACAAAAATTGCATTTTTACAAGTTGTCCAAGCTTACATGACTAAATATCCCAGTTAGCAACCTGATTATAAAAGCATAGTTGCACACACAATGAAAGCGGTTGCACTAAGAATCATAATTATAGTAAAAATAAATTGTGAACACTGGTTTGATCACTTCGCTACCTGGGTTACAATAAGATTGTGACGTTTTTTTTTTATTTTCTTGCTCGTGCATTCGCGTGATACTTAAAAACAATCATTTTTTCTTTTTTTTTTCTAATCGAACAATCTTTCCCTCATCAAGCATTTATAATCTTCTCATTTTTTCCGACATCCTTCTTTTACTTATATCAATTGCAAAAATATATAATTCCTAAAATTTTTTTTTTACCATTTACCTTGAAATTTAACAATATTCAATTTTTTTTATTACATATACAAAAATTAAATTACATGGCACATTGAATAGAGAATAAACTATAAATTGGAATGTTAAAAAAGAAAAAAAAGAAATAAAAATTAAAAAATAAACTAAATTATTTTGTTTTAGAGAGATGTATGTAAAAGGTGCGTGTCGGAATAAATAAAAAGAAACCTTTGAAGACAATCATTACAAAACATTTTGGAACATTACAAATTACAAATATATATTAACATTTGAGTGTTTTTTTTAGTTCCAACGCAAAAACTTACAATACAAGTACTGCAGAGCTTTTGTTGACACAGTATTATAGCTATAAGTACAATTTCACCAATGTTTAATTAATTGATTACTAGGAAAATTGCACAATCTGCAATACATGCGTCATTTTTTTTTCTTTGAAGAACATATTTCATCGATGCCTATTTTCTCCTTTAATAGCTTACTATACAATTATAAAACAATACTTTCAATGCATTTCCAAAAGTATGTCATATTTAAAACGAAAAAAAAACTATAAAATATCTAAAAATGCTCTTTAAAAAAAAATCTTTTTGACAATCTTCGAACATCAAAAAATTACTATAAAAATATATGTCCAATTTTTCAAGTTTGGAATCTTCAGTTTTTTCTTTTTCGTTTTTCGAAGTAATGCTTTTTTTAAATTATAGATTTTTAAACAAAAAAAAAATATTCTATTTTGCAAAAGAGAAAAAAATATATAAATTTTTTAAATTTTGATCTGAACTTGGTTTCATAATAATAAATTTAAAACACATAAATAGTAACAAAATAGAGCTAATTAATAATAAGTATAGAAAAAGCGATTGCTGAAGCATTTTATAAAGTCTTATGCAGTGCAAGATTAAAAATACAAGTGTCGCTTCAGCAATATAAACATGAACACCGATGGGATATATTCTTAATTTACAACATGATAAAAAGAAAGTGCTTTTTTTTCATTTGCTCTCGTGTGATTTTTTCTTTTCAGTAGTGTTCTAAAATTTTTCTTTTTCACACATTATTTATTTTTATAAATACCGATTCCTTTTTTTTTGAAAAATAAACTAACATAGATACTAACACACCTAAAGGAGAATGAAAAATTAAAATTTCGTTTACATTTAAACATTAAATTGCAAAAATAAAATTATGAATTTTTAGAACTCTACTGCTTTAGGTCCTGCCTTTCAATATTGGAGCTAATACCACAAATTACATCACGATTAAAATTTCTAATTTCATCTAAAGAGCAGTCTTTTTTTTCCTATTTCTCGAATGTTTTTTTTCAACATTTTTTCTTTCTTTTTGTCTTGCACCAGGATTAAATATTATCCTGTATTAATTATTAATATTATTATTTTGACGTTCTTATGCGCGAACCCACGTCGTGCACCTTAAGTATATAGAACAAAAAAAAAAACAAAAAAAAAATACGATTAAAGACTATGTAGTACATTAGCAGATAGACATTAAAACTGTATCATTTGACTAGCTTTCGATAATAATCTGTCTTGGGTTTCGCGACATTTCAAAAAAAATTCCTGTTTCCGATCGACTTTTTTTTGTTGTGATTTTTCCGTTGTTTTAAAATTATTTGAAGATTTATTACTTATTGGCGATTACTTAGTATAACTCGGTGCGAGCAAGCTCATAATATCAGCAGCCCCTGGGATACTTGGGTTCGGCAATCACCATGTAACCTTACATATTGATTATACTCTAGATATATATAGTGCTATTATCGTCGGGTATTCTAAAAAATTACAAGTACTTGCATTACTCGATACCACTCGTTAATTTTTTTTTTCTCTTACTTTGACAGGTTCTTTTCCCTTCGGCAGTCTTACCAATTTGCTTCTTTCACGCGCACGCGGAGCTTCGATATATAAAAAAAAGTTTCTCTACTTCTTTTTTTTTGTAAAGGTTTTTAACCCTTTCATTCTCTCTTCTTTTCTCTCTCTCTCTCTCGCTCTCTTTTTTTCAACTATCGAAACGCGTGAAATAGTCAGTCTTTCATTGTTTATTTTTTTTATACGATTAATTACTGTAGATTTCCGTTACGCGCAAAAATATTGTGAATGTCGCAGCGAAGCCATTTAAAATCACCCGACGTGCGTAAACGTAATTCTAGAAATTCAAGCCACGAATCTCGATGTCTTGAAACTACGCGTTCTTACGCTACTTCTTTTTCTTCATTATCATCATCATCACCTTCTTCTTCTTCTTCTTCTGTTTTCTTCTTTAATCTCGAAGTATTTTTTTCACAATTTTTTTTTTAAATTAACATTTTTTTTCTTTTGGTTTTTTACGAACCCTTGGTTTTTGTTCGTTTAAGGCCTTTTAAACTGTATAAATATTAATTTCTGAATTCACTGTCCGATTCAAAAAAAAAAAAAAAAAAAAAAATTCTGCCATGCGGAAAATAATTTAACACGATTGGCAGAGATGACAAAAATTATTGAACACTGTGTGTACCTTTTTTTTTTCTTTTTTTCTCATTTAATGTTATTCCTATACGTATAAGCCTATAAGAAAATAGAATTAGATATTCAAGCGTCTATCGAGAATCGACTCTCATTGATAGAGCAAATAGGGAGGTGAAAATCAGTTCGCTCGTTAAAATTAGAAGAATTCCATTTCCCGAAATGGATAACACAAAAACAATATTGCAAGTGTCACACAGCTTTCCCTTCTTTTTTTTCCATAATTTATACAAATTTTCTTTTTCTTTTTTTTTCTTTCTTCTTTTTTAAAAACCTAGCGTAATATAATTATTTATTCATTTTTATATGTATAATATATATATATATATTTTTTTTTTTAAGGAAATAGCATTCGATCGCAGTACACGACGAAAATCTTAAAATCAATCTCTATATCAAGTGCAATAAAAAGCTTTTTTTTTTGTTAAATCAGTCGCAAGTTTTCTTTCCTTTAAATTCTTACGTAAAAAAGAGATCACTTTTTTTTGTTTCAAATAATAAAGAACGCAGCCAAACATCTCAATTCTAAATAAATATCAACAAGAATAATGTTAATTTTATTAATAAATTTCTAATAAATTGAATTGAGCAAATTATGCATGTTTCACTTAATATCCTAAAAAATTTTTTGTTTATCAAAATAAAAAAATACGACGCGAATATCGTTATACGTCATCTTTTTTTTCTTCTCTTTTCTTTTGATTATTCACCTATTTACCGGTAATTAATCAAAAATTAAATATATATATATACAACGACATTCGTGGCTTGTAATAAAAAAAAAATAAGTAAATTTAAAATTAGAATAATAACATTTCAAATTGAGAAATGAAGGATTAAGAGTGAAATATGTATATGAATATATATATATATGTATATATGTAAACAATATAAATTGTAAAAAACTTTGTCCAATATTATGAAGCTTAAGTATTAAGAAAATAGAAAAAAAAACTTATTTTTTTATAAAGATTTGTCATTTATATTATTCGTATAGTCATTGACTACCGTCAGTTCAACTGTCGATAGATTAGTATAGATTTAAATTGTAATAATGTAATCTGAACATTGTTAACGTTAAAAACAAATTTCATTTCCCAATTTGTGATTTTTTTCAATATAGTTTTTTTTTAAATAAATTATTCATTATTCGCGGCGCACTGCGGTCGAAGAGAAATTGTTCTCTACTAAATACATAAATTGTAAAACCCAGTAAATAGGAAATTATAATCCATCTACCTATTATCATTTGGCTTGCCAAATTCTGTCAGTTCATAAATATATTTTACTGAGTGTAAATAAAATACGTTATATGTATACGCACATGACTGATCATATATGATCATTAAATCATAAAAAAAACGAATCACTTTTTTTTTCTTTCGTGTCATCGCATTAAACATTACATTATTAAAGAATCGTTTTATAAACGTCTTCTATAGTCAATTGTGTCCAATACTTTTTTTTTTTAAATAAAATTGAAAAAGTTAATCGAGGGATTTTCAGAAATATTTTTCACTGAACTTTAAGTTCAGCAACGTGTATAATTTAACATGCGATAATTGGCTTTTTTTAATATAAAAAAAAAAACAAATAAGAAATTTTATGAGATTTAGGCCTCACCAAAACCTCCGATTGCTTGCTCGGTCATTCGTAAGCATAAGGATTCTAGTTGAGAGTTTATTTCAGGTTCAGTCGTCTCTGATGTAATACTCGATTGGCCAAGAAAATGATCCCTTGGTGCAGAGTATGTACGTTGTAAAGTTCTTTGCAATTGCTGTAAAAATTCATTTTGTTTTGTAAATAATACAAATTTTTATGATTATTATACATATAAATTTTATTTTATGAAATTTATTTTCTCCGGTCTTTGACGCAAAAATTGAACAATTTAAAAAAAACAATTCACTTTACCTCCAAACTATTTTCCTGTAAGCTTGGCCGCTTTTCAGATGAGTGCATTGGTCTTAAGCTGTTTTGTGTATTGTTTGGACTTTGGTTACTCTGCATATACGGTGTAGATATACTGTTTCTGTGCGGGCTATTGAGGAATGAGTTATTATGTAGATTAACACTTGACACATGACTCGAATTCAAACTCGGCTTCCTATTGTGATGATTCTGTTGTTGAATGCAGCAATATCGCCTATTATTATAAGGATAATTATGTTGCCATCTGGAAATCAAATATTCGTATTTGAATTTTCCAAAATCATTTACATTTAATCAGCTAAACATTTTAACTCATTGACTGCCATTTAATATTGATTTCCATTAATTCCATTCATTATTATTATTATTATTACTTCTCTAAATTTGAATTTTATTGCAAAATATTGTTTATTTATATTTAAAAAAATCATTTTCATCTAGATAAATTTACAATTACAATATTTTTCATTTCAGATTATTCATTTAAAAAAAAAAATTGAAATACCAGGGCTCGAACCAGTGAAGTATTTAAAAATACGGACTTTACGGACCAAAAATGAAAAATTACGGACCATTTACAGACCAATTACTTACAAAAATATAACCAGTCCGAGTCAAATAAGAGAACATTTTACTTAAAACCATAAATGAAATTTTTCATAACTATAAAACATGAAGACATCGATAACTCCGAGTCTTCGACTCGGAGTGATCGATTTCTTCATGTTTTATAATATTTAAGATGACCGAGTGATAAAATCATTATCAATTCAATTATTATTTTCAAGAATTGCTAACTAAAATTCTTCTTTAAATCGATTATTTTCCATAATTTTCGAAAAAGTTCTTCGACAATTTTGAAGTCCATTTGTTTACAATATTCAATTTTACGAAATTTCAATTATTCGTAAATTCTTCAATTAAATTTATAAAATTACAAAATAAAAACTTCAAATATAAAAAAATCAGCAATTAAACTTTCTTAAAAACATAAATTTCAAAATTTAATTATTTCTAAAAATTCACGCCATATTGCTTTTAATATTTAATTATTATCTAAAATTTTAACTGAAATTAATTCTTAAATTAATTTTTATTACAAAATTCTACTACAATTCAATTATTTAACTACAAAAATAAATAATTTATTGAATAATTGAATGTTTCTTAAAATTCAATTCTCATAAAGAAATTTATCAATAAATTTTTAAATGATTGAATTCTTTTGACGAATTTTATTAAAACTTTTAGGAATAATTACATTTTGTAATAATAATCAAAATTCTGCGATGAGTTTCATTCTTTAGGAAACTAATTGAATTTCTGAAATAATTTGTAATTTTACCAAAATTACATTTTTTTTTCTTGTTTTTAACTAAAATTTTTCTATAAATGCTCTATTTTTAATAATTTTTGAAAAAGTTCTTTGAGAATTTTTTAATTCATTTTGTTTACAATTCAATTTTACAAAATTTCAATTATTAGTAAATTCTTTTATATTTAATATATATTAGAAAATAAAAACTTGAAATATAATTTAAAAAAAAAATCCGCAATGAAACTTTCTCCAAAAAATTAAGTCCACAGAATTGTTAGTTAAAAATATGAAAAATTTATATTTTCAAACACTTTAATTTGAAACCTATTCAAAATTTAATTATTTCTAAAAATTTAAGCTCTAATGCTTTTAATATTCAATTGTAATCTAAAATTTTAACTGAAATCCATTTTTAAATCAATTTTTATTACAAAATTCTACTAGAATCGCAGGGTGTCTAACAAGGATTGAGAAAATAATTCGCTGACTTTTTCCCTGTTAATAGTCTCCTCCCTTTGGTAAAAAATCTAAAATTATCAAAAATTCGAAAAACCGATTTTCTTAACATACAACAATTTTCTTCCCTTTTATGGCATTTAGCTTCATTATTTTTGGGCTCTACAAAAATACTTTACTTGTTTAATAGTCTCTGCCCTTTGGTAAAAAATTAAAAATTATTCGAAAAACCGAATTTCTTAAAATTCAACATTTTTTCTTCTCTTTTATGGCATTTAGCTTCATTATTTTTGGGCTCTTCAAAAACACTTTACTTTATTAATAGTCTCCATCCTTTGGTAAAAAATTAAAAATTATTTGAAAAACCGAATTTCTTTAAAATTTAACATAGAAAGAAACGATAATAATAATCTTCTAAGTTTTGTTAGATTAAAAAAATTTTTTATTCACAAAAATTTTAATTTTTGTATAAATTATTAGAAATTTTCCTGGCCTTCAATGAAATTCTCTGACATTCCCTGACTTTTCCCTAACTTCCCTGACCGTTAGACACCCTGCAGAATTCAATTATTTAAATACAAAATGCTTTTTAAAATTTAATTCTCATAAAGAATTTCATCAATAAATTTTTAAATAATTGAATTCTTTTGACGAATTTTATTAAATTTCTTAGGAATAATTGAATTTTTCGAGGAATTCGATTAAAATTCTATTAAAAATAATTAAAATTCTGCGATGATTAAATCCCTGTAAAAATTTTATTATTTAAATGAAAATAATTGAATAATTGCGAAGAAATTTATAAAAAAAATTTGTAAATAATTGAATTCTTGTGAAATTTTTATTATTTTATAAAAATAATTAAAGATTTTCGTAGAATTTTATTAATTTTTTTTAAAAATAATTGAATTCTTTTAGAAAATTTTATTAAAATAGTAGATATTAAAAGTGATTGAATTGAGGAAAATTTTTGAAAATAACTGAAATTTTGCCAAGAATTTTATTACATTTTTTGAAAATAATTGAATTTCGGATAAGAATTTAATTACTTTGAAAGATAATTGAAAATTTAACGAGAATTTTTAAAAATTGTTGAACATAATTGAATTTCTGCGAAGAATTCTATTACTTTTGAAAATAATTGAATTTCTGCAATCATTTGTAATTTCTCTAAAATTCTCCAAATTATATCGTGAAATTTACGAACTTTTCGTCTTTTCTCAATCAAATTACGGACCTTTTTTTTCAAAAAACTGACTTTTACGGACTTCAAGCAAATTTACGGATCTTTATGGGATTTACGGACCTAGTTCGAGCCCTGGAATACGAAAAAGTAAACAATTCATTCGAACATTCAAAACTTCAGAGAAATTTGAACATTTAAAATTACTTGCTTGACGAAGACTTTAATCAAGTCTGGGTCATTTATCTTAATAATTTTATTAATAAATCTTTTGAAAAGATAAAACTGAGGCAGTAGAATGAAGCAACAATTAAATATCGATAGTAATATAAGAATAGTAATTATTATTATTAAAAAAATGAATAAAAATCAAACAAAAACTAATTTTGAATACACGAATTGTAATTTGTTTGAGAATATAAAGATGAAGCTTACTTTGGAGTTGGTCTAGGATTGCCAAGACGACTGCGCCACTGTTGAACTTTTTCTTTTTGATTTGGCGTAAAGCAATCGTGTTGCAAAACCTTCTCCAAAACGTTGATGCACGTGCAGAGTATACCATCGTCTACACTGTCCAGAGCAAGTCTACTGCACACTGAAAAAAGAAAATATATTATTTATTCAAACGCAATAATAATAATAATTAATGTGGAAGAAGAAGTGAAAAATAATAATTATTATTATAATTATGATAATAATAATGATTGATTAGATTCAGATTGAATTGCTGTAAACCACAATAAAACTCACATTTGCCAAGAACTTTAGTAAATTGAGTGGGAATGTCCTGTGGATCATTCTCCTGACTTGGTTTCAATGGTGTGGTTAAAATATTTTTAAGCTCATCGAGTGTATTAACTAAAAGTGACGAGCCCTGAGCAAATGAAGCCGGTTGATTTCCATCGCGCGTCGGTTGCAATAGATTCTTTTCCAAATTGAGAAGTGTCGTATATCTTTGTTGCAATTTAGTGATGGAAAGTGCCAGCTTGTGTCTCGCACCTTTTGTAACACCTTGTTCCGCTAAACGATCCTCCGTTAATTGTAACATTTCACCGTAGCTCAATGTGGCAAATAAGTAACTGTATTTATGCAAACGAAGCGTTTTTAACCATCCCGGAACGTCTGGAAAAAAATTTCCATTCAATAATTTAATAAATTATTACTAATACCTTAAAAAATGTAATACTAATTTAATTAATTCGATATATTGCATTTTTAATAAATTTATATTTTTTTGCAGGGGAGAAATTTGGAGATATTAACGAGATATTAAAAAAGGACGAACCTCTCATTCCACTGGACAAAGGCCGTGTTGAAGCTTCATCTAAACGTCCCTCACTTCCACTACTTGTACACGAACTTTGTGGACTCAAAGGACCAAGTCCAATTAAAGCAGCTGTAATTAAGAAAATATTTAATTTTTCTTCTTTTGGTTTTTAATTATTTTCTTTGAAAAAAAAAATAATAAACTCACAAGTTGTATGATCTCCAGAAACACTGAAACTTCTTGTCTTGTGTCTGGTAGTGTTATTGGTATTACTACTCCGATCGACAACCTCCTGATGATGAGGAGGAGCAAAAGGAGGTGTCAAACTATTTGATCGACGTTGACGTGAGACTGGTGGCAAAAGTTGTGAATTAAAAGTTGTTCCAGGCTGTGAATTGAACATATTCGTCTGTTCCGTCTGCTGTTTCACATTTCGCTGCCATCCGGCATCCCATCTTTCAAAGGTAAACAAAACAAAATTATGTAATACAATTCGTTATATAATACTAGTTATAAAGAATTTTATACTTATATTTAAATTTTATATATTTCAGGCTTCACACTCGATAATTAATTTTTAAAGAATAGCAAGAAGTAACTTTAAAATAATATTATTTATTTGAGTTTTTAACTACGAGAATGATTTAAATACAAAAATAATTAATTGATAAAATAATTATTTCTAAAAAATAGAACTTTAAATCTTTATGGAATTTAAAAAATTTTTAAGGCGAGAAAGAAAATTCAAAAATAATTTAAGGTTACTTAAAATTTTAATAGTTGGACATTTGAATCGACTAAAATTAGATTAGATTAGTTAGGATTAATAAAATTAAACCTAAAGAAAAATATACAAATAGTAGCAAATTGCAAGGAAATTATAACAATAGGTGTTATTATAAGATGAGTGCCAAACCTGATTTTGTACCTGCTTTTGTATAAAATTTCAGGTAAACAAAAATTGCCTCCTACCTGGACGAACTGTTGGTGTACTCCTCCAAATTATGAATTGGTGGCGTCCCGCTGATTCTCTCCTCAAGATGTCTAAGCCACTGTGACAAAGATCGCCTATCATTACTTGTTATTGCTGGATGAATAAGTGTGTAACTGAGAAGTTGTTGAGTTTGCTCAGTAAATTGTCCAGTGGTAACGCAGTGACTAACCAATTCAGGAATAGCTACCAGATAACATTGTTTGCATTCAACATTTCCGGGTCTCAAAAGAGGAAGATGTGAGAGCAATTGATTAATAGCTACTTCCGTGGATTCTGAGAGGAGTGAATTGACGAAAGCTGTAAGAATTTTTTAGTTAATTTATTAATTATAAAACTCAATGTATTGACTATGAAACTTAATCTATTAAGTATCAGGGTTGTCAAAAAAAAATTTAATTTTGCTTTTCCCTGATTTCCACAAAAAAAATTTCACTTTTTCCCTGACCCTAAAGAATATTCCGATTCACTCTAAAAATTATTAGATACTCAAAAAAATGTTCTATTACATTTACAAATTTCTTTAATTGTAAAATTATTCGAAAACATCAATAACTTCTTTGTTGAATAAATATTTATAGATATTTATATATTTATTATTGTTTTCAGTAGAATGAAGATGTTCAAACATTTTAAATTGAACAAACTATTATTAATTAAATAACTTTTATTATTAAAGATGACAGAGTGATAAAATCATTATTTTATATCATCAGAATATTGTAACTATAAATTCAAATTTTCAAAGATTTTAATTTGAACCCTTTTCAAAATTCAATTATTTCTAAAAATTCACTCTATAATGCTTTTAATATTCAATTGTAATTTAAAATTTTAAGTGCAATTAATTTTTAATCAATTTTTATTAGAAAATTCTACTAGAATACAATTATTTAAATACAAAAGAAAATAATTTATTGAATAATTGCATGCTTCTTAAAATTTAATTCTCATAAAGAATTTCATCAATAAATTTTTAAATAATTAAATTCTTTTGACGAATTTTATTAAATTTCTTAGGAATAATTACATTTTTCCAGGAATTCGATTAAAATTGTATTAAAAATAATTAAAATTCTGCGATAATTAAATCCCTGTAAATATTTTATTATTTAAATGAAAATAATTGAATAATTGCGAAGAAAATAATTGCATATTTCTTAAAATGTGAAGAATTTTATTAGTAAAAATAATTGAATTCCGGAGGAAAATATTATTATTTATGAAAATAATTAATTTCTTGTGAAAAATTTTATTCAAATTTTTTTAAATAATTGAATTTTTAAGAATTTTTTAAAACTTTAAAAAAAAAATTAAATTCCATCTAGAAATTTCATTTAAAAATTGAAAATAATTGAAATGTGACAAAAAATTAAAGTAAATTCTTTTTTACAGAATTGAATTCCTGTGAAGAATTTTATTAATGAAAATAATTGAATTCCGGAGGAAAATATTATTATTTATGAAAATAATTAATTTCCTGTGAAGAATTTTATTCAAATTTTTTTAAATAATTGGATTTTTCAGAATTTTTTTAAAACTTTAAAAAAAAAATTAAATTCCATCTAGAAATTTCATTAAAAAATTGAAAAGAATTGAAATCTGCCAAAGAATTAAAAAAAATTTTTTTTAATAATTAAATTACTGTGAAAATGTTTCTTTTTGAAAAGAATTGAATTCTTGGAAAGAATTTTATTAAAATTTTTTAAATAATTGAATTGCTTCGAAGAATTTTTATTTTTTAAGAAAATAATTGGATTGTTTCGAAAATTTTTACAAACATTTTTGACAGTAATTGTATTCCTAGGATGAATATTGTATTTTACGAAAATAATTGTATTCTATGATTGATTTTATTATAATATTTCAAATTTATGAAGCATTTCATCAAAATTTTTTTAAATAATTGAATTCTCAAAAAAATATTATTATTTATAAAAATAATTGATTTCTAGCGAAGAATATCATTCAAATTTTTTTAAATATTTGAATTCCCATGAAAAGTGTATTATCTGTGAAAATAATTGAATTCTTAAGAAGAATTGTATTGAAAATAATTGATTTGTATAGGAAAATGTTATTAAAATTGCAATTTTATTAACTAAATCTTGTAAAGAATTTTGTCAATATTTTTTAAAATAATAGAACTTTTAAAATAATTTTATTTAAATTTTTCGAAATAATTGAATTTCTCAGAACTATTTTTTTCAATTCTCTGAATATATTTGAATTCTTTGGAGAAACTTCATTAAAAAATTAAAAATAATTGAATTGGTGCAAAGAAATTTTTTTAAAAATTGGTAAGTAATTGAATTCCTGTTAAATTTTTATTAAAATTTTGTTTAAATAATAGAATTCTTTTGGAAAATTTTAAATAGTAGAGATTAAAAATAATTGAAATGAGGAAATTTTTTGAAAATAATTGAAATTTTGCCAAGAATTTTATTAAAATTTTTCAAAATAATTGAATTTCGGAATAGAATTTAATTACTTCTAAAGATAATTGAAATTTTGACGAGAATTTTTTAAAATTTTTGAACATAATTGAATTTATTCTTGTCAATTTCATAGTTTATGGAGCAAACAAAAAAGAGACCAAAATTCAGAATTTTCTTCTTAATTCTAAAAATATAATTTTTTCCAGTACTTTTAATAAAAATCCCTGACTTTTCCCTAACTAATTTTCCTTCCCTTGACTTTCCTGATCTGTGGCAACCCTGAGTATGAAACTTAATTTATTAAGTATGAATTTTTTTTTTATTTTCTCTTTATTTTTCTTTTCTCAATGTTTTTTTTTCATTTTTTCCCATTTTTTCTACTTTACCTGGATTATTAGCGTTTAGTTCTTGTGAATCAAGCTCCGTAACTGAATGAAGTGAATGTTGCACGGCGTGTGCGAGAAATCGGGCTTGAACCGCTGGAATTCGACGTAGGAGAGCGTAGAGGACGACAGTTTGTTCACATTCATTCCATTGTGAAAATACACGTGTCAATTCACCAACTTGCTCGCAAAAAAGAGCTCCCGGTGACCACTTCATTATTTCTTTTGTTTTTTTTCTTTTCTTCTTAATCGGGAATACTATTGCAGTTAAATTTGTCTCGACACCTGAGTTTAGTGCGCGATTGCACAACAACTAGGTTCAACCTAATCTCACACTGATCCCAAAAACCAATTCTACACTGAAATAGAAATAAACATTTTTATTTTCATTTTCTGTTCACGAAAAACATTTACAGTTTATTATTTAAATTATTTTTCAATTCTTATTTCTCTCGTTACGAAAATATTATCTCTTTTTTTTTAATTAGATAAAAATAAATTTTTCATACACGAAAATATTTAGGAAGAATGATTTATTAACGACTTGGTAATTATTACCAATTTGAAAAAAATAAATATGGGGAAAAAATAGTTTCTTGAAAATGAAAATTAATTAGAAATCGGTAATTAAATAATTCGTAAATTCTTTTAATTGTAAAGTATGGGGACGTATTGATTTGCTCGTTAATAACACTACCACATTGTTGTCGATTTTCTATATTCAAAACGTAAACAATCCCGATATATCAACTAAACAAGAAACATTATGAAAATCTATTTATAATCGAAATAAATCAAAACGACTCCGTTTTGTAATGGAAATTTATCTAAAACACAAAACTTGGAAAATTCTTAAATTCTTAGCAAAATCATCTTCGTATTCCGATGAGGTCAAGTTTGTTTACCCCATACTGCGTGTGTATTTATAGCTCCCTCTCCTGCCATAATCCAATCCCTCGGTGCAATGGCATCGGCAAATTATACACGCTTACACGACGTTGAACATATATCTTTTCTCGCGACTCCACAATGCGAATTCCAAATAGCGCGACAATTTTTATACATTCAATTATTTTTATTGAAATTATCTACATTTAAATGTTTCATCAACAAAGGAATTTTCGTTATTTTTGCCAAAATTTGAATCCCTCTCACATATATACAGTAGACACGGGGGATGGGAGACAAGGAGTGAAGGGGGGCCGACAACACTGACAGATAAGCAATGGAAATCGTTGCGATGAGATTCGATGTTGTAGCATAACTTGAGAAAAAAAAAATTAATTACAATTAATTATTCGGTACATTGAGTTGTTGAATTTAATATAATTTGGGGTCATAAAATGCTTATGAATGCCCGCGGGGCGTTTCGGAGCATCGTAAACAAAAAGGAAAACAAACCACCACGAACGCCTTAACGAGTGCCACGGATAGGCTTCAGCCATTGAAAAGAACAAACAACATTCGATTGCTTTGTTTGTCCGGCAAGATTTCTGATGAAAATTGAAAAATCTGTTTATTGTATTTACCGTTTCAGCGACTGTAGACACTCCTCGAAAAACTGAGGACGCTTTTTAAAAAGATGATGCACAGTTAGATCATTTTTTAATCCCTGATTTGTAATAATATACTACCACCATGCGGTGCCCGTCTACGTGACACACACACACTGACTGATACTGCTTTTACATTACCGTTTTTAATACCAGGAGAGGGTAGGTTAGTTTTGTATAATAAGCTTCCCCTTGTCATGTGATTTAAACTTAAGGCATGTGACGCGCGAAGCCGGCAACTTTGTCCGAAATATGAACGGTACTTAAAGGTGGGAAAAAAATTTCGTAAATACGCAACACTACGTTACGTTAACTCTTCTGATTGGCTGTCAGGTTGTAGTGCGTAACCGCCATGTTTGTTGTTATTGTTTTTATGAATGACTTGTCCATTGATTATATTTTCATTCACATTTCAAAAAGTCACTTTTAACGCATAGCAGACGATACTAATCAATTAATCTAATCTTTCTTGAGCACATTGTGATGTGTTTATCAAGAGTAGAACACAATTGCACTCTAATTAGACGATAGTTTCACAATTTTAATAAATTACAACAACGAAATAAGTGTTATTACTAACGTAATTTTTAACCTCAAAAAACACGTTTTACTGTAAAAGGCCAGAATGCGTAAAATGTATTTTATAGTTGATGAAACTTTTTCTATTGTTTCACTGATTTAGTTTTATTATTTAAATATTATTTACAATATTAAATATTGTAAATTAATAAATAATTCATTATTTTAATGAATAATCTTTTATTGTTTCAAAATGAGTTACATTTTAAGAGGTTATCAGAAATTGTTATCCCGATTTCCTTTGGGAATGCAAGCTTTACAAGCAGGTAATTTAAAATTGTCTTCTTGAAATAAATATTGTTTGTATGATTTATTATACATTATTATAAACAATTAACAGGCACTTTAATGGCATTGGGAGATCAAATAGCACAAAATTTAGTCGAAAAACGAAGGTTTGATGAATTGGATTTTAAACGTACAGCAGGATTTGCAGGAATAGGATTTTTTATAGCTGTGAGTTAACTTTTTGTTTTGTAAATCATACAGGAAGGATGCCACAAAAGTTTGATTTTGTTTTTCTCTAATATCCAGACAAAATTTTGACTTTTTCCCTGACCATAAAGAATATTCTGATTTACTCTAAAAATAATTAGATACTCAAAAAAAAAAATTTCTAATACCATTGTATTCCATAGGAATTAAGATTTACAAAAATTTCAAATTCAAACCTTTTGAAATTCAATAATATAATAAATATTCTTCATGTTTTATAATAATTTTAAATGATTGAGTGATAAAATCTATTCGATTTTATAAGAATATTGTTACTGTAACTAATTCAAAATTATTTTCGTAATTTCCATTTAATTATTATTTTCTAGAATTTTTAACTTAAATTCTTCTTTAAATTTACTAAATATATGTTAGAAAATTAAAACTTTTAATAATTTCAAAATAAGTTCAACTAAACTTTTTCAAAAAAATTAAGTCTACAAAATCGTTAGTTAAAAGTATGAAAAATTCAGATCTTAAAGCTATAATACTTTAAATATTCAATTATTTTCTAAAATTTTAACTGAAATTCATTTTTAAATCAATTTTTATTAAAAAATTCTACAAGAATTCACTTCTTTAAACATAAAAGTAAATAATTTAATGTTTCTCAAAATTGAATTGTCAAATAGAATTTTATCAGCAGATTTTTTTAATAATTGAATCAACGCTATAATACTTTTAAAATTCAATTATTTAATAAAATTGTAATAAAAATTCCTGTCAACTTTTTAAATAATAGAATTCTTTTGACGAATTTAAATAAAATTTTTAAGAATAAATACATTTTTCGAGAAATTCGATTAAAATTGTATTAAAAATAATTGAAATTCTGCGACGAGTTTTTTTATTTATGGAAATAATTGAATTCCTAAAAAGAATTTTATTACATATTTATGAAAATAATTTAAATCCTGTAAAAAATTTTATTATTATTTATGAAAATAATTGAATTCTTACGAAGAAATTTATAAAAAATTTGTAAATTTTGTAAATTCACTTATAAGTGAATTCCTGTGAAATTTTTATTATTTATGAAAATAATTATGTTTGTGTAGAATTTTATTAAAATTTTCCTTAAATAATTGAATTCTTTTGGAAAATTTTATTAAAATAGTAGAAATTGAAAAATTATTTATTTGCGAAAAAGTTTTGAAAATATTTGAAATTTTGCGAAGAATTTTATTTAAATTTTTGAAAATACTTGAATTTTTGTCGAAAAATTTTGCTATTTGTAAAGATAATTGAATTCTTGACGAGATATTCGTTAAAATTTCTGAACATAATTGAATTTCTCCAAAGAATTTTATTACTTTTGAAAATAATTAAATTTCGGTAATCCTCCAAAATTCAATTTTTTAGTGTTTTTAACTAAAATTCTATAAAGTTCATCTATTTATGAATATTGTATACGCAACTTTTTTTAAAATTCAAGTAATTTTGAAATATTGAAGTGAAATTATTCATTAAATAATTTCTAAGTAATAATTTTATGACAGTTCTTCAATAATTATGTTATTTAAAACGAAATTATTGTTAGAAATAGAAGAAATTGAAGGTTTTGGATTAGAATTCGTGGTAATTTCATAAATTATGTAGCAAACAAAAAAGACATAAAAATTCAAACTTTTGTAGAAGATGTCCAAAAAAACTTTTCATCTTTTACTATAATTCAGAATTTTCTTATGAATTCTAAATATTTAATTTTTTTATTATTTTTAACAAAATTTCTTGATTTCCTTGATCTGTGGCAACCCTTTGATTGTATTCTATACTTGACAGGAAAAAATAATTCATCCAATTTTTTTAAGGGTCCGGCTACTAGGACTTGGTACGGATTTCTCGATAAGAATATCGGTTCTAAAGGAGGAATAGTAACGTTAAAAAAAGTTGCATGTGATCAGTTACTTTTTGCGCCATTTTTTCTGAGTATTTTAGTCGTGGTAATTGGCGTTTTACAGGGAAACGAAATGGAAAGTATTAAACAGAAACTAAAAAATGAATATCCTGACATTCTCGCTAGTAATTACAAGGTAGGATTATTGTGTCCATTTTAATCTCTATTTTTAAAATGTGTTTCAATTTTTATTAATACTAGGGAAATATTTCCTTTAGTTATGGCCTGCAGTGCAATTGCTAAACTTTGGCATCGTTCCACTACAGTATCAAGTACTGGTCGTTCAAACCGTAGCTCTTTTGTGGAATACGTATATTTCTTACAGGACCAACAAGGATTCAACCTTCAAATCTAAAAATTAATTATTCAGCTAATAGATTAAATATTTTAACTGCCTTCCAGCATTAGAATTGTAAGTGTACAATAAATTTATTTTTCTAATTTAAATCAATTTCTATTTACTAAAATAATAATTAATTTACAAAAAATTGTTTAAAAAATCGATCTAATAGGATTTACAAATACAAGAACCATTTTATTAATTATTCCAAGTTATTGCTAACAAACAACCTTTGAAAATTCAAATAATATTAACAGGGGGATGTTTTTTTTTAACTTTTTACAATTATAAATATTAATAAATATTGGAATGTTCTTTACAGATTGAATTATAATTTACTGTAGGTTAATAGAATATATGGAGAAGCACCCGTTTGTTATTTCTATAATTTGAATAAGTACAATTGTGGCATTCATTTGTTAAAAAAAATAATTATACACAATTCAGAAAATTTGCTACTCTAATAAATACGTGACTCAATTACAACACATTTTTTCGGCTTTCGCCACTGCTGTTGGAACACTTTCAGTGGTTTTAGATGTGATACAAGGCCCAAGTAATTCAGGACATGATAATTTGTTGCTTTCAATGTCGTGCACTTTTTTGAGCAAATCGTAATTTATACGTTGAGTAATTTTCGAGTCTTTTCTGTAATTAAACATTAAATTGAATTTAATTAGAAGAAAAAAGTGTATTTTCAAATTTAGAAATATTTTTGCAATCTACTGAATTTGTATGTATAATTACTGTGGCTAGAAAAGAATTACTAACTTGTACTCGGGATGAGTGGTGACTTCTTTTCGAAGCCAGGCAGCGGTGGTCAAAAGCTCTCCAGATGCTCGCCTTTGAATCAATTTCAAGTATCTTTGAACTGTACAATGTGTGTCAGCATCCGTGTCCATACTGGCGAGATAAGAATTGACCAATGGAATCAATCCAGGAAATGTTCCCTCCTATAAATTAGTAAAAACGAATTATTATTATTTTTGTTATTATTATAAATATTAGAAAATATTAGAAAAAAAACCAACTTTTCCGTTAATAATTTCATTGATAGTAAATTCTGTGTATTCTTCTTTATTATTCTCGTCTTGTTTACTGGAAACAATATCTCGTCGAAACCAAAATTTCTCCTTTTTCACAGCGTCCTTTTTCTGCGCCTTAATCATATTCTCATCAACTTTACTTATTGGGATCAATAAATTGAGTTTGTAGCTTAAAATGACTCTTGTCAATAATACAACAAAACAAACAATAGCAGCATTTTCAAAGTCTGTTATTTGAACTTCGCATGGTCGAAATTCGACTCGCCATCCGATTGGCGAATTTGGTGGTGGTGGTTTAAAACGCATCGTTTGCCAATTAGTCGATTGAATATTCTGCAAATTAATTAATTAACTATAATAATTTGAATGTTCTTTCATTCTTTTATTCATTCACTTTTTCTGTCCCTCAGAAAACGTGATATTCAATTTATTATTGTTATGCAAATTACAAAATTTTTTCTTTCAAATATAAATAATTTTTTTTAATAGTTAAAATCTTAACAAAAATTCAATGATTTTCAAAACAATTTTAATTGAATTCCTCGGAAGAATTCAATTTTTTAAATCAATTTTAATAAATTAAAATTTTTCGCAAGGATTCAATTAATTTTATAAACAGTAAAATTCTTTGCAGGAATTAAATTATTTTTAATTAAATTTAAATAAAATTATACGAAAGAATTTAATTATTTTCAAAAATTTCCATGAAATTCAATTTCATGAAGAATTTAAAATTCTCTAAAAAATGATTCAATTATTCTTAAAATATTTTTAAAAAATTCTATATAAAAATTAAATTACATACTTTCAATGCAATTTTTAAATACATTCGTGAAAAAATGGAAAAAATCCAATTATTTTCAAAAAATAATAAAATTCTTGTGATGAATTCAATTATTTTGAATATACTTAATTTTAATAAAATTCCTGAAAGAAATTCAATTATTTTCGAAACAACTTTAATTGAATTTCTCGAAAAATGTTCATTATTATCATATATTTCTATAAAATTCTTCATAATAATTTAATTATTTCTTAAAATTTTAATAAATTCTTTCGAAACATTTTCAATTATTTTTACAAATAGTAAAATTTTTCGCAAGAATTCAATTGTTTTCAATTCAATTTTAATAAAATTCTTCTTCATAAAATCCAATTGCTTTCAAAATTTTCAATTAAAATTATTAAAGAAACTCCATTAGTTTAAAAAAAATTCAAAGATTTAATTTGGATTTTTTAAAATTTTAATAAAATTCTTTGCGAGAATTCAGTTATTTTCTAACTTCTCTCACCTCAAAGTGATCAGTGTCTTCTGAGTCATTTTGATGAACTTTTTCGGAAAATAGTGAAACTGTGTCTCTAATGAATAAATGTGCAACGTGTTGTGCTAGTAATTTATCAATTCCATTATCCAATAATTGTTTATAAATCTCGTTGTCATAAGTTAAAGGCACATCATTGTATTTATCTCCTTGTTCACTGAGATATGAATCAATTGAATCGTATCGGGATTTACTAATTGTAAATTTATTCTCCTTCAATGGTTTCAATCCGCGTTCTTCCTGCGTTCGACAATCAACCGAACAGGATATTACATTCCATCTTGAATCCGCATCCGTTATGTAGCCGCGATAAAAAGGCGACGCTGCAGTTAGAGCTAACTGAAAATTATTCCATTCAATCAAATTTCATAAAAGGTCATTTTCCACAAATTTAGTCTCATCTTTTCAATTTAAAAATATTTTATGAAAAATAATATTTACAATTTTCAAATATATTTTAAATTTGCAAATAATTTTGTCAATTTTCAAATATTTTGTTCAATTTGAAAATATTAACTAATATTAAAAAATTGTTTTCCTATTGCTTACCATTATGGGACAAAGGGGAGTAAGTTGATCATATAATGTTCGAGCTTCTTGAATATTACAAGCTTGAAATGTCAACTGCAGGCAACAACAGCCCATTCCAAATCCCATAGCATCCATATAAACATGATTTTCCTTTGCCGCTTTCTCACTGGAGCCATCGTCGCCTAATGCAGCCAAATTTTCCTTAAATGGCAAAGGAGTATTTTCATCTTTATAGACTGAAAAAAAAATTCAAATGACAATTTCCACATTCGATAGGAATAAAAATTTAGAAAATAAATCTCTCATTTAGTAAAATTATTACTGGGAATGTTAATAGCAACTTTTTCTCCTCTTCTATGACGAATGTTTCTCGTGAGAGTTTTAAATCGTGGATGACCACCAAAAATTGCTTCATCGGGGAAAAATAAGCTTCTTGATGCTCCTGAGTCAGGTGTTGGTTGTGCTGCTGGATCTGTGAAATCAGGCGATCCCAATCTGTATTGCAATAGAAAATATAATAAATTAAATATAATTTAAATGAAATTCCTCCATAGAAATGTATTTTTTAATAAAATTTTTAGAAAGAATTCAATTATTTTCAAAAAATTTGATACAATTCTTTGTAAGAATTTCATTATTTTCCATACAATTTTATCAAAAAAGAACAAAATTTAATTTTCTTCGAAACAATTAAATTGTTTTTAAAAATTTTAATAAAATTTGTCAAAACAATTCAATTATTTTCAAAAATCTTGATATAATTCTTTGTGAGAATTTAATTATTTTCAATACAATTTTATCAAAAAAGAACAAAATTTAATTTTCTTCGAAGTAATTAAATTATTTTCAAATATTAAAATAAAATTCTTAGAAGGAATACAGTTATTCTTACATTTTTTTAAAATTCCTTTGAAGAATTAAATTATTTTCAAAATTTTTTAATAAAATTCTTCGAAACACTTCGATTTTTTACAAAATTTTTTTAATGAAATTCTTTGCATGAATTAAATTATTTTAGATTCTAATCAATAATTAATATTGTTTAAATTCATTATGTTAAAATAATTAATATAAATTAATTTCTTTAAATTAAATAAACTCAGAAATGGTGAAATTTAGAAGAAAAGAAATTAAAAACAATCTAAAAAAATTATCAAACCTGGGAAAATTTGTAATTTTCATCAAAACCTCGCCAGGTAGGAGCAATTTTGCAGCCTCTTGTCTTCTATACTGCATATTTGCCTCAACGACATTAAAATGTGCCAATAAACCTCCATACGGCTTTCCTGGAGTTCCTTCAATCATGTAAGCTCCATATTCTGGACGCCAAAGAGATTTAACTTTGCTGAAGAAAAAAATAAAAAACCGCAAATTATAATTATCAGAAATTAAATCAAATCTTTTTCTTGCCACAGGTCAGGAAAATCGCAGGAAAAGTAAAATTGATCAAGGAAAAGTCAAGGAATTTTATCAAATGATAAATATGACTGAAATTGTCTTCCTATCAACAAAATAAATAATTTTATCGAAAGTACTGAACAAATATTAAATTTTTAGAATTTATAAAAAAAAAATTCTGGATTTTCGGGTCCAGCAAAATTTGTAAATATTAAAAAGATTAAATTCTTTCATGAATTTTTTTTTACTTGCTTTATAAACTTTAAAATCACCATGAATTTTAATAGGAAAGCTTAAAATTTTTTTTTATTTTCGATAATAATTGAACTTTACAGAATATAAAATAGAATTTATTTAAAATAATTTAACTTTAAAAGAACGATCATAAAACTACTAATAAAATTACTAATAAATTACTTAATGAATAATTTTACTTAATTCTAAAATAATTGAATTTTAAAAGAGTTGCGTATACAATTTTTATAAATAATTGAATTTCAAAATGTTTCAAATTAAAATTATCGAAAATTGGAATTCAAAATTCTGAAGAAGTTAGTTTTTGAAAAATTTTTATTTATATTTTTGAAAAAAAATTTCGAATCATCGAAATTTTGTGAAATGAATTGTAAACTTGTAGTTTTGAGAATAGGAGCACATTTTTTTTTTTGAATAATTGAATTTTCAAAAATTACTGAAAATAATTTATGCAGAGAAGAATTTTAATTAAAAATTCTAGAAAATAATTGAATTGAAATGATGAAAATAATTTTGTAAGAGTAGTAATTCTTATAAATTATCGAATTTCAAAAGGTTTAAAATTTGAAAATCTTAATTCCATTGGAAAAATAATAGTAATGATTAAATATTTATCTTAACTAAAATATTGATGTTCTCGAATCTAATCGTCGTATCTAATCATTTTTGAAGTGAATCAAAATATTCTGTAGGGTCAGGGAAAATGTCAAGATTTTGTCTAAAAATCAGGAAAAATCAAATTTTTGTGTCAACTCTGGTTATGAATTGTAATTAAATTAGAAGAGATTTTAGTTAACATTTGCAATGTTAAGAAATAATTTATTTTCAAAGGGTTTTAAACTAAAACTTTGGAAATTTTCAATTTCTGTGAAAAAAAATTAATGATAGTTATTTCAAAAATTATTCAAGTGGCAACTCTGAGGAAATTACTAAAAATTTATATATTTTCAAAAAAAATAAATTCGAAACAATGGTTTCTTGGAAAATGCTTTTTCTTTCAAATGAATGTAAAACTCACTTTGGATTTTTTCGCTCTTCTTCTGTAAGTTGATCCAAAACTTCTTGGGCACGTAAAGAGACTTTTGCTGTTTTCGCTTCATCATCAAACTTTACTAAAATATACTCCACCTTCAATAAAAAAATTGCATATTAATTTTTTTCCTAAATTGATTGTATGAAAAAAAATTATCAAATTTAAAAATAAAACTTTAAAATTAAATTCAAGTTTATAGACATTTAAAAATCGATATTATTATTATTATCATAGCCGTTCAATTTTTCTCTAATTAATGGTCATAGTTGATCGTTTAATAATTGAGTAAAAGGAATGTAAAGCTGATGAGTCAGCAATAATGAAAAGTTTATTGGACTTGACATTAATATCAATCTTTGTTTCAAATTCTTTACTATGTTTAAGCACTTATAAAACCGCACTAACAGTGTTAAACGAATAGTCAATAGATTTTTATAGCCCCTTGTATGAAATATCATATTACCTTTAAATGCCAATTGTTAAACATTTATGATAGTTACATAGATCGATTTTATTTTATTCTCATTTCAAACTCTTATCTTATCGTTTTAATTTCCAAATCATTTTTTAATTGATTCACTTTATTTGCTGAGTAATACAATAAATAATCAACGCAGCTTCGATTTTAACTGAATATATAAAATTTCCACGATTTGATATTTTTATTTCCATTTCTTGAAATCGCAATGTGTGAGCTGACTTAAAGTTTAGAAATTGCAAATGAAAGTATAAATAAGTAGAAAGTAAATAAATGTGCAACAAAAGTGAATTGATATAAATAAAATACAGTGAATCTGTTCACTTAATAAAACGAATGTTGTAAAAATTAAACGATTAAATAATAATAATAATAATTTTAAAAATAGTTTTCATCATTTAAGTTTAAATAGTAAGAGAAGAAAAGTTATTTAAATTATTTAAATACGATAATGGAGAATTTTAAAATAGCAATAAATAAAATACAATTTTTTTTTGTAATATTACCTCATCACCCCATTTGAGAACGTCGCCTTGTCTGTCGCGAAGTCTTTTGTATAGGTTAATGAATTGAATAACTCCATGCTTTCTCACGTGATCAGCGAGATTTTTTGTTTCTTCCCAACTGAGAGGACTGCCCTCGGACAGTAGGCCCATTATTTATTATTTTTCACAAGATTATTCGAATTTTACAATTGGCGAGTAAAATTCTTTGTAAAACGATCCGATCCGATCGAATCCAACTGTTTTGTTCGATGAACATGCGAGAATAACTGCGAATTGAAAATATGAAAAAAAGAAAGAGAAAAATCGAGTTATTTATTAAATTTAAAGTAAATAATTAGAAATTTTGGGAAAAAAATCTATAAACAAATAATAATTTTACTTACCTCTCTCACTAGAAATTCTTCTTGTATTTTCTCGAAATTTTTTGCAATGTAAATTTATATTGTCGTTGGATTGTAAAAGTGTTTTGTTGTAATAAATTGACAATGTCAATTATTTAAACCAGCAGTTTAAAAGTTTAAAAATACCGTTTCTAGTGACAGACACGAGTGATGTAAAATCAAAAAATTCTCGTGTAATGCTTCTTACTGGTAATGCGGTTATCAATGTTGCGAATGGTAAGAGCAGACTAATTTCTATACAAACGTTCGACAGTAAAAATCAGGAGCGTCTCTTTAAGAATTTCTGAAAGGTGCATAAAACTCTCCTTCTCTTTCTCTCTCTCTCCCTTATTGAGTTTAACGATCTCTTCGTAAAACCTTAGAAGAAATCAAACATTTTTTTATAAATTACTAGAAAAAAAAATTATTTTCAATATTTAATTTGAAAAATTTTGACTCCGAAAAAATTGTTTCGAAAAATTAAAATTCGATCGAATCCAACCCGTTAATATTCAAAATAAATATATATTAAAATAATAAAATTATAAACAAAATAATAAAATATAATTATTGAAATAAAATTCACATATTGTAATTATATTTTATCGATAATTTTTAATTCTTCGAGTTCAATTTGTTTTCGCTCCAAAAATTTAAATAATTAAAAAAATTGCAATAATTTTTTCTAATTTTTCTATATTAAAGTGATAATTCCTTGTTTCATTATTTTTTGTAAATAAATATCGTTTCAGAGAAAAATGATTTATCTATTATTGATTATCCTTGCGTAGGTTTGCTTCATAAAAATCGATTTTTTTTTAATGATAAGGCAATCTTCAAGGATCGCGATTTAATAATGTATGAAATTATTTTTATGATTCTTTTTTCTCTATATTTTTATTCTCTTACAAGCTTGTATTACTTTGATGTACTAATTGCCATAAAGAAACCAATAATTTTGTGATGACGAAGCGAATTTTTTTGTCGCCCAAACCTATCATTTTAAAAAACTGGTTTTTATCTAATTTTACAGCTACTCCAATGACTTTAATGTCTCAAGGATAGCGAAATTTATTTTATTTATTTTAAATATATATTTTTATCCAGAATATTCTTTTTTTTAAGCGCTTTGAAAAATATCTTGAAAAGTTATCTTAAAAATTAACCAATTTTTAGAATAATTTTACTGCTTTTTAAAAAAAATAATTAAATTTCCTCTAATTTCTTTAACTTTTAAATTTTCTTAAATTCTTAATTTTCTAAAATATAATTAATGTAAGAATATAAAAATAATTGAGAATATAATAATAGGAAAAAGGATTGAATGGAAAAAACCTGAAATCACATCACAACTGTACTTTATTTGGACGTCGGTTAAGAACATTAACAGCAAAATACAGTCATCGTTTTCTGTAACAAAAAAAATAATTTTCGCCTTTAATTTCAAGTGTTTTTGAATTATTTAAATATTTCATTGAATGTTACTATAAATCAGACAGCATTTTTATGCTATGTTTCAACTGAGAGCCCGACGTATCAGTGGGTTCAGCTATTTCTAGCTCTGACACGTGGACCGGGTCTTCAGACGCGTTAGCTTTTCATCATTAATATCTCATGAAATAATAATTTTTCTAAAGTTTTAAAATTTCAAAATTAAATCAAATTTTTTCAATTTTTTAATTGAAATGATGAAAATAATTTTTGAAGAAGTTTGAATAAAAATATTCTTATAATATAAAATAATGATCTTATCACTCGGTAATCTTTAACTATTATAAAACATGAAGAAATCGATCACTCCGAGTCTTCGACTCGGAGCAATCAATATCTTCATGTTTTCTAACAAAATACTTTTATAAGTTGTTTAATTTAAAAAGGTTTGAAATTGAAATTTTTGAATGTCTTAATAATTCCTGTGGAAAATCCTGTTCCAAAAATAAGATTAAAAATAGGAATACAGGCCTCGGATCGACTTTAAGGTGCAAAAAAAGTCGCTTTAGTCGATTTAAAATAGAAAAAAAGTCGATTATTTAATTCAGTGTCATCACAAAAATGTTATTTTTTATTCTTCTGATCTTTCACTGATTTCTAAATTTAATTATTTAAAACTTGAATAATTTCGTTAAATAAATATTTAAATACTTCTTGTTTGTTTTTATACGGGAATAAAATTTAAAAAATTTCTATTTAAAACCTTCTGAAATTTAGTAACTTCTAAAAATTACAACTTTAATTCTCTTAAATTCAATTATTTTCTACAATTTTTAATCAAAATTGAACCCCTTGATGCAAGAACCAGACGCAGCCCATTTAATTTCAATGGTCTATGTCTGGTTCTTGCATCAAGGGGTTCAATTCTTCTCGAAATCAATTATTTTTAATAATTTCCCGAAAGTTCTTAGAGAATTCAATTATTTAAATACAACTCAGAATGTTTTCAGGATCTTAATTTTTGTCAAATAAATCTGTTTATAATATAAACCACAATATAAACAGATTTATTATTTAAATACAAAAATTCAGTTCTTTATAATGATTCTAACAGTCCCATGTTTTTTCAGTTATTAATTAATTTTCAAAAAATTATAATAAAGAAATTCTTAAAATTCATTTTTCAAAAATATTTTTCAAATAATTTATGAAAGATAATAGTTTTTTAATTATATAGAATTGAAAAATTTCCAACAAATTGAAATTTGGTAAATTCTATTAAAAAAATAATTGAATTTTTAAAGAATTTTAATTATTAATATATATAAACGCGATTTCTCCAAAATTTTAATAAATCTAAAAAAGTCATATGTTGTTAAAATGTTAAAAATAATTGTAAAAAATTTTAATGTTATTATTTTTTGTATATATTTGAATTTTTGGAAATTTGTATTTAAAAATATTGAAAATAATTGAATTTTAAAAAATTAGAATGTAAAAATTCTAAGAATTATTTTTATCAAAAATATTTTAATATCTATAATTTTTTTGTAGCTAATTTTCATTAATTACCATTTTTAAATTTACATTTGAAGATTTTTCATTAAAATTTTTGAGAAATCAGTTATTATCAAAATTTGCAATTAAAATTCTTTAAAAGTTTATTTTCAAAAATTTTTATCAAACACTTTGAAAAAAATCAATTATTTTCAATTAAATTTTAGAAAATTTCAATCATTGAAACTCTTTTTTATTGTAAATTTTGAAAATTTATTTAGTAATTTATAAAAATAATTGAATTGTTTGGAAGAAATTATTAAAAATTTTAGGAAATAATTGAATTTTATGGAAATATTTGAATTCTTCCAAGAAATTAAATTAAATATGTTTTTAAAATAATTGAATTCCTGTAAAGAATTTTAATATTTATAAAAATAATTGAATTCTTGCGAGGAATTTTACCATTTATAAAAATAATTGAATTGTTTCGAATGATTTATTAAGATTTTAGAAAATAATTGAATTCATTTGAAATATATTAATATTTTTTAAAAATTAAATTCTTCCGAGGAATTTAATTTCAATTATTTTCAAAATTTGCAATTAAAATTCTTCAAATGTCGATTTTCAAAAATTTTTAAAAAACATTTTAAAAAAATGAATTATTTTTAAGTAAATTTTACAAAATTTCAATATTTATTGAAACTCTTTTCAATTGTAAGTTTCGAAAATAAGTTGCATTTTATACTAAAAATTATTGCAATATTCGGAAAAAAAGTCGAAAAAGTCGTAATTTTTTAAAATAAGTCGAAAAAAGTCGCATTTTTTGAAAATAGTCGAAAAAAGTCGAAATATCCGAGGCCTGTAGATCACAAAAAATTTATTTTTTGTAAATTTATAGAAATTTCTCTGACTTTGAATAAAATCTCCTGACATTTCCCTAACTTCCCAGACCGCTGGACAACCAGTTAATAGTATTTTCTAAAAAAGACAAAAATATTAATTTTCAAGAAAAAAATTAAGTCTTTCAAACAAATAAACATATTTTCAAAACGGCGTGCTGTTGTAGATAATTATTTTCTGATAAAAATAAGCTACATTACATTAAAATCGAATCATTTTTAAAAATCATTGAAGCATGACAAAAAATTTGGATCATAGATGAAAACTGTATTTAAACAATTTTGTTGTAGGTTTAAAATTCTTTTTCTTGAAAATTAATGTTTCTTCTTTCAAAAAATACCATTTAATAATAAAATTCCAATTTCTTGAAATGTTAATTGACTATTTTTTCTTTCAAAGTCTGCATTTCTTTAGAAAAACGTCCCTAAAATGTCAAGATTTACTTACAAGTTTAGTCAAAAAGACCGAATCCCATGTCATCATCTTCTGATTCAGACTCTTCTTTCTTTTCCTCCTTCTTCTCTGCTGCGGGAGCGGCAGCGGCAGAAGTAGCCACTGGAGCAGCGGCGGCAGCGAATTTGCTTGGGTCCTAAAAAGGAAAAACAAACAATTTTATTAAAATCCCATTTCTTTTCATTATAAAGAACATGATCTAAAAAAATATATTCAATTCAGACAGCATTTTTATGCTATTTTTCAACTGAGAGCCCGACGAACCAGTGGGTTCAGCTATTTCTAGCTCTAGTTCGTGAACCGGGTCTTCAGACGCGTTAGGCTTTCATCATTATGAAAAAAATTCCAGTATCAGGAATAAAAACAAATTTACTTATATGTAAATTTGTAAAAAGAAAATTTACTTGGGTAAGATTGTTTACCTTGATGTACTCTTTGATGGTACGGGCTTCAGCGAATTCGACTTCGGTAACTGCGGCAATAGCCAACAAGTTCTTGAAACCATTGGCAATGCTGTGCGGTGCACTGGCAATTGTTGGATAACCGATAGCCAAACAAACTGAGGCCAAATTGGCAACTCCGGCCATGAACTTCTCGCGAAGATCCTCTGGCTTGATGTCCAAAATTTCTGGCGCGAAAATAGTGCCAGAGTCATAGACCTGCTCGACCAATAAACCATACGAGAAGGGAGAGATGTTCAACATGTTCAGAAGAGTTGCTTCTGAAGCTCCGACCTTGTCGCCTGGTTTCAGGATATGCACATCGTTCTGTAAAGAGAATTCAAAAAAATTATTTAGTTTTGAATTCGAAACTGATATAAATGCTGCAAAATCCTTTCTTCTTTTTAACAAAATTTAAATAATAAACTTACGATAATTTCAATGGTACCCTTTGAAATCTTAGTTGGAATGCTCAAAGCTTGGAAGAAGGAAGTTTTCTCAGGTCCCAAGCCGGTGTTTTGAGCGGGAATGATGACGCTCAATGGAGCAATGGCTCCAGCTCTGGCGGGAGCACGTACTTTATTTTCAACGAGTTTATCGCGTACTTCAACCAAATCTCCGCGAGTGAAAACAAAGCCAACGTTTCCCTTGATGTGAGTGAGGAGCTTCTCTAAAGCGGGATTACGCTCAATATGACCGCGAATGGCTTTGCGCATCATGGTGTTCTTTCCCATAAGGACGATGGCGCTTCCTCGCAATGACATACGAATTTGCTGCATTTGCTTTGAACCGACATTGTCAGCGCCCACAATAAAGCATTTGGGATAGTCGTCCAACAGTTGCTGCAAAGGAAAAAAGAAAACTATTGTAAACAAATTTTTTTTTCATTCAAGTGTTTTGTTAACATTTTAAAGGAATATATATTTTATTATTCAGACAGCATTTTTATGCTAAATTTCAACTGAGAGCCCGACGAACCAGTGGGTTCAGCTATTTCTAGCTCTAGCTCGTGAACCGGGTCTTCAGACGCGTTATGCTTTCATCATTATGAACAAATTTATTTTTACTAAAATTTTCAATGTTTAAATGAGAGAATTTCTTTTTGTTTAAATATTTTTAAAAATTACTCTACGATGAAAAAAAAATAATTGAAATGGAACATTTACCAGGGTGGTCACAAGTTTCAGTTTATAAATTTCTCTGACAATTTACTACCATTAAAATTAATTTCCCTGACAAAATTATTTTTACAGGAAAATATGCAAGTTTACAGAAAATGGGCAAAATTTATGACATTTAATAATTTCTAAAAATTACAATTATTTAAAAACAAAAACTCAATTTTTTATAATTGTAACTGTCCATATTTTTATCTTAAGTTATCAAAATATATTTTCAAAAAATTATAATAAAGAAATTCATACAATTAATTTTTTAAAAATATTTTAAAATAATTTTTGAAAAATTAATAGTTTTTGAATTATATACAATTGAAAAATTTCCAAATAAATTGAAATTTGGTAAAATCTATTAATAATAATTCAACAAAAATAAAATACTTTTCCAAATATTTTATTTTGAAAAAGTGAGTTTTAAACAAAATCAATTTACTAAAAGTTTATTATTAAAATTCCAGATATAGAAAGTACTTCAGTTAATATTCTATTTAATTAGGGATTTAATAAATATTTAATTAGAGAATAAAAATAACTTACGATGAGTTTGGTGAAGTAACTTGACTTCCAGGTAGCTTTGTCCTCTCTACCCATCTTTGTGATAGTAGAGACCTAATTGAGATTTAAGGACTGAAAGAAAATTTCTATATATTAGTAAATTTACACATCTTCAATAACTAAAAATTCTAAATTATATTAATTTACTATATTTTATTTAGTTTTAAAATTCTAAAATTTAGAAAAACGTTACAGAAAATTCAAACATTTCACGTTTTACTGAGAGGTTATGTTCCACGTGCTTCCCGTTTGACACAAAATACAAAAAAAATATTTACATCAACAAAAAATTTATACTCTAAATTTTATTTGAAATTAATAAACAATTGTATAATTATAATTAAACAATATTTTCAATAAAAAGACGCTTATCGACTCCGACTCGCACATGTCAACATAACCTAACTTTTCCATTTTCACGAAATTGTTGATAAAAAAAGTATTGCAGAATACAGAAGAATTAAAATTAATAAACTATTTATCTTACTAATGATATTAATAATGTTTTATTCTAAAGATTTTTAGTATTTAATAGTTAAAATTTATTATAAAATATACAGCACGGACACTCACCTTTAGCACAATTGTGGCAGAATGGAAAAAGAAACGGATGTCGTGGCACGCGACGTTGCAACTTTCTAACCGGAAGTAGTAAAACGCGTTTGCGCGGCGGCCATATTGAAAATTTTAAATTCAAAATTTTTGCCTTCAATATGTGGGGATTTTAATGTTAATTCATACATAAAATATGTTATGATATAAATAATTAGCAAATTTAAATATTGTGTAAAATGTGGTAAATTTATAAGAAATAAAAATCAAGTGATATATGACATTTTTGGTAAAATTGAATAAGTAACACAGGTTGTACACTTGTGTACAAAGAATAGTCTACCTAAAGGGGAAACTTAATGATTTGTAATTTGAAATTCCATTATTTTAATTTATTATTAGTCCAATATTCATGATTATTAATTGTTAGCATTCACTTATTGTTTATAAATTTTGTTCTTTTAATGTTACCATCAAATTTAATTAACTTTGGTAAATAACAAGACTTAAATAAATAAATCGTATGAATAAATTATTAAATAATAAATAAACAAATCTTGATATAAAAAATATTTAAATTTTATAAATTAAAATGTTATTTTAAATTTTAGATCAAGAATTACAGATATTTATTTTGAAATCATGACCCGACAAATGACGCTATCTTGTGAGATATTTGAGAATCAGTGTAGATGATTTTTTGTTTATAATGTTTATTTGGCATTATAATACAATTGATTTTATTAAAATTGAAATTTAATTTATTTTTTATATAAAAACTAATATTTATTACTTTTATTTTTTTAATTTTTCTATTTTTATTTATTTCTCGTTTTTTCAATTATTCTTCTGTTTTTTTATTTGTTATTTTTAATTTCATTATTTTTAACAATCTCATGAATAAATTTTACAAATTTAGAGAAATGTATTTTTAGAAAATAAAAATTCTAATTTTTTAATTACATTCTTAAAAAATTACAATATTTTTTATTTTTTAATTACAAAGCTTTCAAGTTTTAAATGATTTTAGATTATAAATTTATAAAAATCGATTTATTTAGTAATTAATTGTTATTTATTAGTTTCAAAAATTTAATAAATTGTTTCAAAAAAATTAAATTACATATTTTTAAAAAATTCAATAAACTTCAACCTGCAATAATTTTCTAAACTTTAAATTATAATTTCATTAATTTTAAAACTCAAGATATTTGAAAATACAAATTACTAAAAAAAAATTAAGAAACAAAAAAGCAAATTCAAACGATTAACTGTAAAATGCGGTTGTTCAATTTATTATTATTACTGTGAAAATTACAAAATTTTTTATTTTCAAATATAAACTTAAATTTTCAAATAGTTTTTCACTCCAAATTTAAAAAATTTCTTTTTATATTTTAATAGAATTTTCGAATGAATTTAATTACTTTAAAAAATTGTAATAAAATTCTGATAAGAATTTAATTATATTCTAAAAATTGAATAACTTTTGGAAATTTTCAATTAAAATTATTATTATTTTCAAAAAATTTAAATAAATTTTTCAAAACAATTCAATTATTTTCAATACCTACAATTTTAATAATATTTCTGTGAAGAATTCAATTATTTGCAAAAAATTTTAATAAAATGTAATCATCAAATTTTTTAAATTATAATTATAATTAATAAATACAATTATTTTTAAAAAATTTGAAGAAATTCCATATAAAATTCAATAACTTTCAAAATTTGCTATAAAAATTATTGGGAAAAATTCATTATTTTCAAAAAATTCAGAGAAATTCTTAAAAATAATTCAATTATTTTCAATACAATTTTAATAAACTTTCTGTAAAGAATTCAATTGTTTTCAAAAATCTTGATACAATTCTTTGTAAGAATTTAAATATTTTTATAAATAATAAAATTCTTGGCGAAAATTCAATTATTTTCAAAATTTTTAATAATATTTCTCGAAATAATTGAATTATTTAAAAAAAACATTTTTGTCAAGAATTCAATTATTTTCATAAATAAGAATATTCTTCGCAAGAATAAAAATATTTTCATAAATAATAAAATTCTTCAAAGGAATCCAATTATTCTCATAAATAATAAAATGTTTCGGAGGAATTCAATTATTTTCAATATAATTTTAATAAAATTTCTCGAGACAATACAATTATTTTTAAAAATATTATTTAAACTCAATTATTTTCAAGAGTTTTAATGAAAATTCAATTATTTTCAACAATTCTGATAATAAATTCATCAAAACAATTCAATTATTTTAATGAATTTTAATAAAAACCTTCCAAGAATTAAATTATTTTCAATCTTACTGCGTTTTTGAAAGAAAATTAGCAATTTTAAAAATAATAGAATTTAACAAATTTTATAATTTAAATATTTGTTGAAAACACTAAAAAAATCCAATTATCTTTACAAATAACAAAATTCTTCTCCAAAGTTCAATTATTTTTCTAAATTTAAAAAAAAATTCTTGTCCTAATTTCAATTATTTTCAAAAATAAAATGCATTTTTCTAATTTCAATGATTTTCAATATCTACTATTTTAATAACATTTTACAAAAACAATTCAATTATTTAAAAAAATTTTTAATAAAATTGTATGCAAACATTTAATTATTTTCATAACTAATAAAAATTTCACAGGAATTCAATTATTTTCATAAACAATACATTTTTTTTAAGGAATTCAATTATTATTTTCATAAAAAATAATTTTAAATTCTAGAAAATAATAATTGAATTAAAATGATGAAAATAAATAAAATTATAAATAGGAATTGTGCAAATATTTTTCATCTTTTTCTAAAACAAAATAATAATTTTGTTAAAAAAATTATGATTCATAAACAAAAATAATGCAAAATAAATAAATTTTTTATTTCTTAATCACAGTTGTTTAACAATTTTATAATTTTGTTTAGAAGTAAAGAACAAAAATCTGCATAATTTCAATTTGACAAAACCTAATATTTAACAAAATTTTAGTCTTTTAATGAAAAGAAGTGAAAAAAATTCTTATGATTTCTATTTATTGTCATTACAATTTTGAATTAATTATAAAATAAAGATAATTATAACATAATAATATAATATACAACCTATCTGAAGATAACAAAAAACAAAAGAATAAACAAAAGACAACTTCGGAGTGTGAAGGACAGAAAAAGTGAATTAATGAAAGAATGAAAGAATACATTCAAATTATTACAGTTAATTTTCGCGAAAGAATTCAATTATTGAAAAAAATGATAAAATTCTTGAAATAAATTAAATTATTAAGAAATTTTTTGTATAAATACCTTACTAGAATTCAATGATTTGCAGTACATTAATTTTTAAATTTAAAACATCTAAAAAGAAAAATTATTTATAAAGTTAGGAAACAAAAAAGCAAACAGCAATTAACTTGAAACTGCGAACAGATTATCAGAATACAACGATTATTAATATTTCATCTTCATCTAAAGTTTCATCTTTAAAAAAAAGCAAAGTTTCATCTTTAATAATTATTAATATAGATTATTATCGGAAATTGTGATTATACATTATTTATACATTTCTGCATCATTTATTGCAAGAATAAAAAAATTGTCCATCACATAGTATAAATTTCAACTCTTTATCATGATCGCAACTTTCGTCAAAGAGATGTGAATTCTATAAGAGAATAATCTGAAAGTAAACGCAACAGGTGATGCATATATTGTGTGTATGTGTACTGGTAACTGGTATATCAGAAACCACCAGATGCCCATTTCTTCCCGCCCCTAAAGCCGGACCTGCCCATACTCCAAAGGAGGATGGATGCTACTACTCCTACTCTCCTACACGAGTTGGTGAGATAAGGACGAACGGACAAACGGACTGACGGAATCAAAAGGTGGGATTCAGTCTTGCGGCCACGTGCTACACGAGCGCACGCCCCGCACACGTACCGGCCGGCTCACTGGTCCGGAATCTCTTCCGTTTCCTCTTTTTTTTTCTCCTTTTTTTCCCCATTTATTTATCTGCCAACAATTTCGCATCTTTGGAAATCTTCCATCATCAACATCATCATCATCATCATTATCATCATCAACGGAGATAATTGATGATTATCTTTAATTTGTAACTCTCTGTGTTCCAAGGATTTTAGAAAAAGAATTATTTTTGTGAAATGAACAGTTGTTTTCCTAGGTTTTTAAGTGATATATATATTAGAAGTGAATTTTTAGGATTTAGTCAGTGGACAAGTTTATCATTTAATGATATAATTGGAATTGTTTTCGGAAATATTGTTTTTTTTCTATTTGGTTCAATTATAATTCAATTATAATTCAACTACAATTGATTATTATAGAATATAATTGAATAGTTCAATTATAGTTGATGATTTAAGGAGAAAGGGAAGAAGAAGGAAAAGTGTAACTTGGTGTTGATTCAGTGAACATGATGGATTATTGATACACTTTTGAATTGAGTGAGTAAAAGTTTTTATATTCTAAAACGGAGAAAAATATAAAGTAACTTTTAGTACTTTTATAGTAAAACATTTCTGGTAACTTTTACTATTTTCGGAGTTAATTTTGCTACGTTCGAAGTAAATTTTACTAATTTTTTTACAAACATGTTCTTTGAACGTAATAAAATTTACTTCGAAAGTAGTCAAAGTTACCAGAAATGTTTTACTACAAAAGTAGTAACCTTTATTAATAATTGACAATATTTGTGGTGTCGTGAAATATTATTTGCGCGTTTTCAATTTTTCTTTTTTTCGGTGTTCCTGATGGTACCCTCATGGTACCCTAATGGTACAATTACTATCATTCTACCAAATGATGGTCCACTTCTTTTCGGGTACAAATGCAATTGTACTTCGTGCTGGTACCATTGGTACCAATAACTGTTAATTCTGTGGTATCGTTATTCTGATGGAAACATCGTTAATTTAGTAGTATGAATGCAATACTGATGGTACCATACCATTGTGCTAATGGTACCATAATATTGCACTACTGGTACCATTATAATATACTAATGGTAACATAACATTGTACTGATGGTACCATAACATTATTCAAAACTTTCCATTGTAATATACTAATGATACCATTATAATATATTAATGATACCTTTATAATATACTAATGGTAACATAACATTGTACTGATGGTACCATAACATTGTACTAATGATACCATAACATTATAAAAAACTTTTCATTATAATATACTAATGATACCATTATAATATACTAATGGTAACATAACATTATACTAAATGGTACCATACAGATTTTACTGCTGGTACCATAACATTTGACCAATAGTACAATAAAATTACACTAAACCATTACAGAATACTAATGGCAGCATTATAGTAATGGTACCATTACAGAATACTAATGGTACTATTACAGTAATATGGTAACATTATAATTTTCTAATGATTTCACCATATTATACTAATGGTAGCGTAACATTATATTAAATAGTATCATATACACTGGTATCATATAACATATATTACTAATAGTGTACAATAAAATTATACTAATGGTACCACTGAAATATATTAATGGTACCATTATATACCTATACTAGTGGTAGCATAACAGCATACTAAATAGTACCATTATACCTATTCTAATTATTACCATGAATTAATTATTAATTAATAGTGGTACCATGATGGTATCATTAAATAATGGTGGTACCATTAATATAAGGAGTCGTTAATGGCACCTTGACGATATGTTAATGGTAGCATTTTGTCATTGAAATGACAGCAATCTATGACTATGCTATTATTATCTGCTGATACTAATATTATTGCAACATTTCATGGCTTTTTTAACCATTGTCATCCGCAGTATTATCATGTTAGGTACCCAGACTATTAAAAGGTACGATTGTTACCATTTTTATTCTTCTCGTTTGCTGCTATTGTTATTTTTCAGTACTGATACTATTTTAATAAAGTTCCATTGTAGAAATTTTAAAAACTATCAATTTTTAATGAATTTAAATAGAAATTTTAAAAACAACTGATTACAGAAATTCAATTATTTTCAAAAGTGATGAACTTCTTCGCATAAATTCAATTATGTTCAAAAATTTTTTAAAATCATCGTCAAAATTTCAATTATCTTTATAAATTGAATAAAATTCTTCTCCGAAATTCAATTGTTTTGAAAAATTTTAATAAAATTCTTGGCTAAATTTCAATTATTTTCAAAAAATATCAATTTTTTATAAATTTCTTCGCACCAATTGAATTATTTTTAATTTTTTAATGAAATTTCTCCAAAGAATTCAAATATATTCAGAGAATTGAAAATAATAGTTCTGAGAAATCCAATTATTTCGAAAAATTTAAATAAAATTATTTTGAAAGTTCTATTATATTAAAAATTTTGACAAAATTGTTTACAAGATTTAGTTAATAAAATTTTAACCAAATTTTCCTATACAATTTAATTATTTTCAATACAATTCTTCTTAAGAATTCAATTATTTTCACAGATAATATATATTTTATAGGAATTCAATTATTAAAAAAGTTTGAATAAAATTCTTTGTTAGAAATCAATTATTTTCATAAATAATAAAATTTTCCTTCAGAATTCAATTATTTAAAAAACTTTTGATAAAATACTTTATAAATTTGAAAAATTATAATAAAATTGGCCATAAAATACAATTATTTTTGTAAAATACAACATTCTTCCTAATAATAAATAATAATACAAATAATAATAATAAAATAATAGTACAATTATTGTCAAAAATGTTTGTAAAAATTTTCGAAACAATTCAATTATTTTCGTAAAAAATAAAAATTCTTCGAAGCAATTCAATTAATTTAAGAAATTTTAATAAAATTCTTCCCAAGAATTAAATTCTTTTCAAAAATAAACATTTTCACAGGAGCTCAATTATTTAAATAAGAATTTTTTTTAATTCTTTGTCAGATTTCAATTATTTTCAATTTTTTTAATGAAATTTCTAGATAGAATTTAATTATTTTTAAAAAGTTTTAAAAAATTCTGAAAAATTCAATTATTTAAAAAAATTTGAATAAAATTCTATTTAAGAAATGAATTAGTTTCATAAATAATAATTTTTTTCCTCCGGAATTCAATTATTTTCACAAATAAAATTCTTCACTGGAATTCAATTCTTTAAAAAAATTTTTAATAAAATTCTTTGCAAGAATTCAATTATTTTCATAAATAACAAAACTTATCGCAGATTTTCAATTATTTTTTATAGAATTTTAAATAAAATGATAGAAAATTGCATTTATTCTTAACATTTTTTTTTAAATTCGCCGAAAGAATTCAATTATTATTAAAAATTTTGATAAAATTCTTCATAAAAATTCAATTTTAAGAAATATGTAAATATTGAATAAATTATTTATTTTTGTATTTAAATAATTGAATTTTCGGGAAATTTTCTAATAGAAATTAATTAAAAAATGAATTTCACTTAAAATTTAAAATTGTAATTGAATATTAAAAGCATTATAGCGTGAATTTTTAGAAATAATTGAATTTTGAAAATGGTTAAAATTAAAATCTTTGAAAATTTGAATTTTCAGTTACAATATTCTTATGATATAAAATAATGATATTTTACTCTGTTATCTTAAATTTATTATAAAACATAAAGAAATCGAGTCGAAGTCTCGGAGTGGTCGATTTCTTCATGTTTTATATTAATATTCTCATAAGTTATTGAATTTGAGAATCTTAATTCCTATAGAAAAATAATAATGATTAAATATTTATTTAAAAAAGAAGTTATTGATGTTCTACAAGGTCAGGGAAAAGTGAAAATTTTGTCTAAATTAGTGAAAAGTCAGGGAAAAACAATTTTGTGTCAACCCTGTTTAATAGTCTTTATTTGTAGAGAATTTTTATTTTTTTATAGGTACCAATACTATTTGTAGATGTTGTTAATCATTGCATTATTATCCATTGGTACCAATATTTCTTTAAAGTATTAATTGTTTTAATAATCGCTATCCTTTAGTATCTATTTTTTAAGGACCATTATTAGTTGGTACCATCTGTGTATTACTAATTACTATTATTTTGTGGTACAAATATTTCTGTAAAATATAATCATTAGTTGCTACCAACTGAATTATTAACCTTTGGTACCAATATTCTTGCAAAAACCTATTGTTAGTTGGTACCGATGGTATTATTAACAGTTGGTAGCAGTGTTTCTTTAAAGTACCATCGGCAATTGGTACCAATATTATCATCCTTTGATACCATTATTTTCTAAAAGTATCATTTTGTTATTTAGTACCAATTGCATTGTTATTCTTTGGTGCCAATATTTTTGCAAAAGCCCTTTGTCAGTTGGTACCGATGGTATTACTATTCTTTGGTACCAATATTTCTTTAAAGTACTATTTTTGGTTGGTACCAATTCACATAATATTGGTACCATCTGCGGTAACAGTAATTATTCTTCGGCTCATATCTTTAAATCGTAATTACTCAAATATTCAAATTCGAAAAATAGAAAATCCATCTACATGAAACCCATAAAATCGCATCTTCTCTCCTCATCATCATATTGTTACATTAAGTCGTAATTACAAGAACGTCTCTCTTCGTTATACAATGTATTGGTATTGGACATAATTTACTTTGAAATTAACATATAAGCAAAATATTGGTAAATGTACATGTATATAACTATAGATAATGAATTTAAAATTGATGATACTGGATCAAATATAGTTAGTGAAGGCACTTCATTAATTCGAGTCTTCAACTGGAATTAATGAAGTATTTGCCTGCTATGTATACCGACGCGCATAGATTCTTCCTTTGAATAAATGAATGTCCTGATTGTTTTTAAGTATATACGACTTATGTAAATATCTCTTAGTTTTCCTGATATGTCTTGACGCAGATCTATTGCTTCAAAAGACAATAATGTAGTCACGTTTCATGTCAAAAACAAAAGCGTTAAGTGGACAAATAGTTGAATAACAATATTTATCGTCGAAAAAAATACGATTAGTTTCAAATTTACTGATTGTTATTTTCAAAGTCTTTCAAAGTTTCCTTTCTTTTTTGAAATTATTACATGTTCTTTGTCTTTTTTTTTATTATTATTGTTCTCATTCTTTGTTTGAGGTTTTTTCAATTTTGATGAGGTTATTTTAATTTTCAACATTGGTCCATTCTTTAAAAGTTAGTATATCTTTCTTTTCGAAATTTAACATGAAAATTTATTATTTTTTGAAAAATGTAATTCTTCTAAGTATAATTTTCAAAAACATACGATTAAATTTCAAAACAATTTTTGAAAGTAATAAAATAAAATTGTTTTTAATATAAAATTTTTTTTTTAAAGAAATTTGACAAAACTTTCAGTTGTATTTTTAAAACTATTTTCGAGAATTCAATTCTCTTCAGAAAAATTTTAATTACAGTTTTTCAAAAATCTG